TTCTATATCGGGCCAGGCTGGACACATCTCTCTTCTGCAAGACCGCAAACAGTCTGGGATCTACCTGGTCTGTGACTGTCCCTCTGCCCCCGTTTCTATCTTTATGGACAGTCCAGCTTCTGCTGACTGTGCCTGCAGAGTGCTATCCTGGCCAGGGCCCAGAGGATGGGCACCTGAGGATGCTAGCCCTCCACCCCCAGTCTCCCACCCACCGATGGTGACGTCTGAGGAGCTGTGAGCCTCCAGGAAGCGGTTGAGGTGATGCCAGACCTTGGGAATCCAGTCGATGATTTTTACCAGCTCCATATTCCGCACCCGCCCACTGATCTCTGTTTCCATGAGCTTCCTCCTCAGGAACCGGCCAAGGAAACCCTTCACAGGCTCCGTGTGGTTGGCACAAAGCACCCATCTGGAGGAGGTCAGAAAAACTTTTCAAGATAATGATAGTGATCCAAGTGATGGCTGACCTCAGGAACCAAAGCATGTTAGAAACAGAAGGTGTACGTGCTAATGCAAAAATTGGGTTTGCTATGCACCGAACACTGTTCTAAACACTGCAACTATGTATTAACTCACAGTTCCTCATAGCAACCCTCTGACATAGATGTCATCAACACCCTTGTTTTACATACAGAAATGGTGAGGAACAGACAGGTCATGTAACTTGTCCAGGTTCAAACAGCTAGTTAATGGAAGAACTAAGATGAGAACCAAGAAGCCTGGCTCCTGAGGCTAGGCTCTAACCACTGAAATAAACTGCCTTTGGTGCTTGGTGCCAGGCCCTGTGCTAGGCTACGGAGCTATCACTATGACTAAGACACAGTCCTGGTCCCCAGGAGCTCACAGTCTGGTGGAAGAGGCAGACAGGCAAAGAGAGAAATGAAATATGATGAAGCCTAAGGCAATCAGGGAAGGCTCCCAAGAGGAGGGGATGTCTAGGCTGAGACTGGACAGATAATCAGCAGCAACATAAGGAAAGGAAGGAGCAGGTGTTGGGGTGAGGAGTGGGGTGATGCTGCAGCATTTGCAAAGGCATGGGAAATAGCATGGGTGTTTGGAGAAACTACCAGAGGTTTAGTGTAGCTGAAGTTCAGACTTGACCTGCCAACCCACGGAGTCTGGATTTCATCCTGCAGGCCATAGGGAGCTACTGAAGAACTTTAAGCACAAGAGTTCTACCGTCAGATGTGCACTCTAGAATGTTCACTCTGGTCAGGCTGCCACAGTGTGGAGGATTGCCTGCAGGGGGCAAGCCGCAGGCAGATATACTGGCTAGAAGGTAATGGCAATGGCGTGCTCGGTGATGATGGGGCAGTGATGGGGGAAGAGGAGGAAGATGGATTTGGGGGATAGATAGGGGAAAGCATGAACAAGACTGGGACAGCCTAAATGCAGAGGTGAGCCACGCTCTCAGTGTGCTAGAGGAGTCAACATTTCTCTGGTAATTACATTCAGACACACTTTCATTAGATCTCCCTCAGAGATGCCAGTGGAAATGAGCCGGAGGTCCCAGCCCAGGAGACAGCTTCACACCCACCTCTAAGAGCCCGGGCAGGAGAGGTGGAGTCAATTGAGATTATGGGGCAAAGGGTGCTTGGCAATGCCAATCAGGCAGCAATGCACCCTGGCACAACAGAGGTGAACAGTCCTTTCCAAGCCCTGGCCGCAAGAGAGGACCAGCGTGGTGCTGTGGCGGGGTAAGGAAGACAAGCCAGCAGGGAGTCACAGCAGCTGGGATTCGCTATAGACCCCATTAAGTGAGGACATTTTAGGTAAAAGCTGTCATTGCTCATGCTCACTTGGGACAGAGAGACACCATTGGTAACAAGCAGGGCAGCAGAGACACCTGCAGTCCCTTCCAGAGCTGCCCCCTTGACCCTGCAACGGCAGGACTCAGAGTCAGAGACCTGAGTGCACATTTCCACTCTACCACTGACCAGTGTGTGACCTGATCCAAGGCACTTAAGTCTCTGGGCCTCGGTTTCCCCATTTGTAAACTGAGAGTGGTAAATGTAATTACTTGAGGCTGAAGTTAAAATTAAATGAATTAAGCTGAAAACAATGCTTAGCAATACCTAACATACAACAGACACTCAACACAGGCTTCTCTACTCGCCCCTTCTTGCCTTCCTTCCTTATGATTCCACAGTTTAACTGGACAAGGGAAGGGAAAACTTACCTGAAGTTATGATGAAGCTGCAGGTTGGGAGTCGAAGAGGTAGCCTGGTTCATTGTGCCAATTATGTAAGGGCTGTGGTAAAACAAAGGGAAAGAAAGCTGTGAGTCGAAGCCAAGCTAGAGAACAAGGCGCTCACAGAGGCCAGCGGCCCTGTGCACCTAGGCCGGTGGATGGCGAGCCGCTGCCCCTCCCAACCCTACGCATGGACACAGCTTCACTCCCACACCGGCCCCAGGCCACCTGTGTGCACAGCGCCCCATCAGGTAGCAGCACTCTCTCCCTGGGGCTACAAGGTCCAGAACCAGCCTTTACCATTTGTGGTACTTGCAGTTGAGCAGCCCATTGAAGATCTCGCCCAGAGAGCTCACATGATGTAGGTTGTCCAGGATGATGACGAGGGGCATGTCCACAGCGTTGTTCTCACTGTTGCACTGGTCAGCAAGGTTGGACAGGTACTGGCGCAATTCCTATGGTGGCCAGAAGGGCCCAAGGAGAACAAGTTGGTGAACGCACCCAGTAAAGACACACCTGCTCAGGGTCTTTATCTCACCTAGGCCAGTGGAGGCGGAAAGGCCCTTCATGATGCTGTGCTGTGAACACATTCTGGGTGCCTGCCTATTACAGGGCGTTGGCTTGGTGCTCAGGGGAGGCAGGGTGGGCATGGGATGAGTAAGGCCTGGGTCCTGCCTTCCAGTACTTACCTGATGACTGAAAACCTTGACCCTGGGGCTCTTACCATGCCCAGGCATGGTTTTTATTACTGTTTGACCATCTTCTCCAGAAATCCTGTTACTTTTCTTGACATTTCTCACTATGCCAATCTCCCAGTAGGCTCCTGGGTGCCTTGTAGGTCTTGGTACCTCCATAGCACCTGCCTGAGAGCTACATACACAGAAGCCCTCTACATATCAGAGCAATAGAGGAGCCAGACACACACTTAAGTCACGCTGAGTAGCGCTGGGAGATGAGTCTACATGCACTGGGCTTGGGGAAGTCCTGCTGAAAGGGCAGGCTTTGCATTTTACCTTGGAGAATGGGTGGGGCATTGGCTCAGCAGGGACTAGAACACAGCCCTGCATGCCTGGCATAAGGGATGCATGTCAAAAATGGAAGAGGAAGAATAATGGCACATCAGGGAGAAAGGCTGAAACAGCAAGATAAGGACCTGGCAGGGAACCTAGGATGCCTCCCTGCCATTACTGTCATCATCATGAGAGCTGGCATCACTTAGAGCCAGGCAGGCCTTTAAGAGCCTTACACACAGGAATTTCTGTAGCCCCACAATAAGCTAGGAGGCGAGTACTATGATTGTTTCCATTTTATAGATGGAGAAGCTGAGGCATGCTACGAGCAGGTGCCTAGCCTGAGAGGGTACAGTGGGCAAGCAGTGGGCATAGATCAGACTTGGGTACGTGTCCCAGTCTGTGTCTTCACCACACTGGCCTGTCTTAGATGCTAGCCTGCTTGCCTGGAGGTAACATTTTCTCCACCTCCTACCAGTACCTGCCCGCCCTGGGCCTCCATTTTTAGTCAAAATATGGCTTGTTAGCAATAGAAAAAGCCCACCTTTTAAGTGGCTAGTTCTTTCCGTCCCTCTTCACTATGAGCCCTAGGCCCTAGGCATTTGATTCTCCCTGCCTGGGGAGCCTTCACTTACTGGTCCCGGGAGAAGTTCCCTAACTCACACAAAGGCTTTCAACAGAGGGGCTCTGGGTACTTCTCTCTTATCCCGCACCTACATCAAGTTACTTGGGGAATTTGTGGATGGTGCAGATACCCAGCCTCAAACAACCTAATGAAATAGATCATCAAGAAGTGAGGTCTAGGAACCTGTATCTTCAAGCACACTAGGTGATCCTTAAGACAAAGGAGTCATTTTCAATCCACCTTTGATCCTCTGGCCCCTTTGAATAGGGCCAGCTAGAGTCAATTATCCATCGGTGCACTATATGCATGAATGAACAGGTCTGATATCGCACTTTCCAACTCTCGGCTGGGACTAGGTCAGACTGCAAACATGCAGTTTCCACTGCTCACTGTGAAGCAGGATCCAACCTATTGTGGCCACAGGGCTTTAGAGACTTTGACTTGAGCTTCAGTTATCTACCAGTTAGTACCATCTGAGTGGTCTTAGGCACAGGACCAACCTGTTTCCTTCTCTGCAAAATGGGGATAGTGATAAATACCCTCTTGAAGGTATTGCTATGAGAAGGTGTTTGCTGGTCATGGGGCAAGCAGTCCATAAATGTGGGTTTCTATTATTTTTATTATTGTAATTTTTGTTTCTGGTCTTATCATTATTGCTGTTCCACAAAATATATTGGAAAAATAGCAACACCCAGTATGCACATGATAAATTCTTGGCAAACTGCAACAGATGTATCTTGGATAACATTAAAGAACTACTAGCACTGAGCATCATAAATGAGCTCAATTGGCTTAAACACAGATGGAACTTCTTACTGGGAGGATCAAAATAGAGCCTTCCTCTGTTAGCCCCCTCCGGACCTCTTTCACATGGCTTTCTAAAACCACCTAAGGAGAGCTGATAGGAAATGCTGCTTTCCTATCAGGCTAGAGGTGATATTATCAGTTTTGAAAGGGTCAAAAAATACAGCAAACTCAGAATGACCTCCTCACCTTGCTGGACTTATGGTCCACGTTAAAGGTGGCGATAACCCCGTCCGTCAACTCCCGTCCCTCTCGAAGCACCATATACTCAGACAGCCGGTTGGCCAGGTAGGTTTTCCCAGTGCCGCTGGGGCCAGAGAGAATGATTCGACGGTGCTCCATCAGCAGGGAGACATAGCGCTGCAGGATGGGCTTGGGGATCAAGGACTCAAACACCAGTGAGTCCAGGCTGTTTTCTGCGAGCCCTGCATTTGAGAGAGATAGGAAGTGTCTGAAGCCCTGTAGAAAAGGTGGCTTTCTGTGCTTGCCTAACTGGGACTGCCAACACCTGAGGCCATACCTTTCCTTGGCAGTCCATTCACCTGAGACGCCTGCACACCCAGGGACAATGGAGGCTGACAGCAAACTGCTGCTGCTGTAGGAAGTCACCTACCTGTTCATCAACACCATGTGCTTCTGGCTCCCGTCTCGGCTAACTTCCCAGATTCAAACTCACCTTGAACATTTGGGCTCTTAGTCCCCATCTGTCTTCTGCAGAATTCACAAAGCTCTGGGCTCTATTTGCCTGTCTGGGTTTACTATACTTGCTATACACACACAAACACCCTACTATATATATATATTTACTATACATATGCTATATATACCATACCTATGGCATCTGCCGAAACCAAACCTGAGTCTTTTCTGTCACTTGTCTGTCACTCCGAGGCTGCCTGTTCACCCTGCTCCCTCCCACATGCCAGGTACCACTGCTATCCACACTAAGATGTGCCATGAAAGCAACAGTACTTTTGTCTTTAAAAGGAGGAAAATGCAAGGCTAGATCACTGGATTCTGGAATGTGAATACTGGCAGACCTGGCCTGAAATGCTGTGAACTGGGACTCTTGGTCCTCAGCAACCTCAAGTGGAAACTTATCCTTCCCATTTCCTACCTGGGACAATGCCATTAAACAGGATTGTTGGCTTTGCAAGAGGTATATTTTGGATACTGTCTTAAGAGAAGATCCATCCAAGGTTAGCTGTCCAGAACCTCAGGTTATTGTTTAAAAACTACTCTCAAGAAACCAGCAGAATCAATAAAAAGTCAACTGAAGAGTATTTACTGTTTTATAATAGCATTTTCCAGGCCGGCATGGTGGCTCACACCTGTAACCCCAGCACTTTGGGAGGCTGAGGCAGGTGGATCACCTGAGGTCAGGAGTTTGAGACCAGCCTGGCCAACATGGTGAAAGCCCGTGTCTGCTAAAAATACAAAATTAGCCGGGTGTGGTAGTTGCGCCTGTAATCCCAGCTACTTGGGAGGCTGAGGCAGGAGAATCCCTTGAACCCGGGAGGCAGAGGTGCAGTGAGCCAAGGTTGTGCTATCGCACTCCAGCCCATGCAAAAACAGCGAAAGGAACTTCACTGAAAAAAAAAAAAAAGCATCTTCCTTCGACATACTCATTCACTGCTAGCAGATCCCCCCAATGCATTATGTTCATTTCTAGACTTCCCCTAATCAAGTAACCCCTAATGTAGTGATTCCTTCAGAATAAATGGGACAAAGACCCCCTGGTGCCTTGTCCACTAGGGACAAGCCTAAGAGTTTCCTTCTACTGAGCTCAATGTAGCATATACCTGCTCAAACCTTGATGCAAACAAAGTATGGAGTGTAGGGCCTCCAGTCTAAACCTGATAATAATAATAATAATAATAATAATAATAATAAACACAGGAGAAACCCACTAGAATGCCCCTCTGAACATACACTGCTCTGTTTCAGTCTTCTGCCATAAACCCCACAGGGAGTGATGATTTTGCTCATGAGCTCACTTCAGGAAATGCAAAGTCAAACCCCCTTCCCTGGTACCACTGAAGTGAATCACTGACGCTCAGGCAACTCTTTCAGCTCAAATCCTCGCGTGGTTTTAGTGCCTTGAAGGCATAAGTTTTAAGCACTCTAGGAAAGAGAAGAGTCAGGTATCACTGAAAAACCTGAGCTGATCCCTTGAGGTGCTAAAACTTGATGTGCTGACAGATCAGGCTGCACGGATGGGTGGCACGCTCCACTAGAGGTAGGTAATCTTGTCACCTTCTAGAAAGGTTTGGTCTGGTCTCAGCAATAGGCCATTCCTTTTACCCCTCAGTGCTTTGCAATGCTCACCTGTAAAACCAGCAAGTGAACGATGCATGCCTGGCAGGAGGGATGAAATGCAATTTGAACCCAGGACGAAAAAGGCTCTCCTTAAAGAGTTCTTGCCGAGGACAATTGTTCCAGTGTGCCTGGTGCCCCTTCCTGCCTCCCCTCATGGTAGAGCTCTTCTTTCTCATGGGAGCTCATTCCTGGTGGTTCAAGTGGAACCAATCCGGCTCCTCCATCCACCCAAAGGGATGGGCTTGTGACCAGGCTTGGACAAATCCTCTCCCTGGTCGTAAGGACCAATTCCACGATGGGCATTTGACTTACAGTGGGCCAGAGTCATCCCTAGGAGTTTTCTGCTACATTTTCCCCAAAACACCTTTTTCCTCCAGGTTCCTAAGCTAGAGGAAGGAATTGGGCTACCAGGGGCCATTTCATCAACCATGTTAAAGAGCTCATTAAATAAACACAGCCCGTGACGGGCAAAGCTGAGGCAAGCCTGGCCCTGATTCATTGTCTGAGCACCTGGATCCAGCCGTGCTTGAAGTGTACTCCTGGATTGCCCAGGGCCAGGAGCCCATACATTTCCTTTTTTGCTATAGCTACTTTTGAGTTGGTTTCTGTCATTTATAGTCCAAAAGCACAATTGTGGAATTTCACTTGCCAGTAGGAGAAGGCTGTGTGAGGCTCAAACAATATGTACCACTTGCCACCTGCAGAGCAAGATCTTAATTCCTGCTGATGGAAAATAGTGCGGTGCTTGTGGAAACTCTACCATCCAGGAAATACATCTTGCATCAAATGACTGCAAAACTGCAGTCAGGAGCAGTGCCTTTCAGGGAAGAAAGAAATGGAACAGCACAAAGACGGAGCCTACTACAGTACTGATGAAAGTTTATATTCAGGTGGTCCATAACATACAGGAAATGATGGGGTTTTACAATCAAATAAATTTGGGACAGATTGGATTAAACAGCCTTTTTACCAGCAGGAGTTAGGACATTGAATGACAGAGCCTTTGATGTACCAGTGCACTCTTGTCCCCCAAAACACAAGTGGGGACTATGATGTAGTTTTCCAGAATTGCTTGGCCGTGAAGCCCTTTTATTTATTTATTTATTTTTTTAAACCACAGTGAACTTTGTGGGCCTAGAGTTCCAAGGAATGCACTGGCCTGGGGCTTAATATTGCTGGGTAATGAGAAACCGGAAGCTCTAGCAGCATCCTGCGTGGGCATGTGCTTCAGTAGTTTCATCAGGATGCTCAGAGTGACTCCTGTAGCCTACAGCAAGTCGTGGTTTTCCCATCTGTAGAATGGGACCGTGTCCAAAGCTTGCCGGCAAGAGTAATTCATCAGTATCAGTAAAGCACTATTTCAACAGGGTTATAAAAATTCCATCATCTCAGAGTCATAAGGCTAATGGGTTCTTTTGTTAGATAACTGCAGCAGTAAACTAAAATTATTTTGTTTCCTAAGGTGATTGAAAAAGCAAAAGACTGTTCAACTTGCGTTGGTAAGTCTAACTGTGGCGTAAGGGAGAAAAGCAGCCCGCAAACATGCACAAACAAAACTGTGGCCACAAGTGCCTAGGCCAAGTCACAAAACGAAAATGGCAATTCCTGAAACTCTGCAACCAGCTCAATTACCTTTGACAGTCACCGTGATGGTTGTGTTCTCTCCAACCAGATAGCCACAAGGAAGCAGCTCCGGTGTTTCGGAAGTGTTGCTACGCTTGATTTCTCCAATGCTGTAGCCAAGAACACTGTCTGAATTCAGCCCTAGCTGACTCACTGGGTCGACATGAATTATGTATTCCTGGAAAAAATAAAGAATAAAGACCCCATCAAAGATGTGGCTAAAATCTGCCCATGAATCATGTTTTCATTGGGCGATTTATGATTATCTTCTCTTCTTTCTCAGATGTCTGGGTTGAAACTGAGCTGTGGGATGAGGGGGAGAACTGATTTTCTGTGGGGATAATGCCCTAGTACCACAGGCCTCTCAAAATACAGATTTATTTGGTTAGGAATGGGAAAAAAAAAAAAACAAAACCCTAACAAGATTGTGAACGTTTAGTCTGGATGAACCAAGCACGGAAAAGCTAGGCTGCTTTTCCTAAGTTCCGCTGAAGTCTTGAAGACATCAGGGCCTGTGAATGGTGCTGGAAAATTCACGAAAAAGTAATTTTGACAGGAAATCTCTCTTCCATCCCCTTCTTTTGGCTCAAAGATCATACAAAGAGATTAAAATGCAGGCTGCTAGAAAAAATCAGCTCTAGATCTTTAAGAAGGAAAATATGTGTCTAATTTGGAAAGTGTTCCCTCTTGCTTGAGTGAACAAAAGGTTTTAGGTTAATAAATGCAGAACTAAGGTTCATGTACCAGGAGGTGACTGCATGATGACTTAGGTGGAATCCCAGCAACAGGCCTTGAATGGTCTCATTTCCTCACTTACTATGATACCAGTGTGCCCCTTTTCAGCCCAAACTGCTTTTCTAATCCAAAAATGTCCCAACTGCCCATCAGCAGAGATAAGTTTTTGGCCTCGGTAGGAGGATTGGTCCAGTGTAAAGCATTCATATGTCTTTTCTGGTCTCATTTCTACAGTCTGGCTTGCCAGGATGCGGAACAGTCTCCACTCAAAAAGCAGAATTTTCTCTGTATGAGGCTACCTGGATCTAGCTGTTAGAAAGAAACTACAGTGTACTATTAGGTTGGTGCAAAAGTAATTGTGGTTTTTTGCCATTACTTTAAATGACTCAACGAGGTGACCCATGAGGTCTTTTCCCATTTATTCAAGAGATAGTCATTCAAAGTGTCACTGGGTTTTAATGGCAAAAACTGCAATTACTTTTGCACCAACCTAATAGTTAAGTGGTTTTGAAGTATGACCACCTAAACTAGATCAATGTGATCTAATTCTACATCCATGACCTTGTACAAGTACCTAACCTGAGCCTCACTTTCCTCACCTTTAAATGGGAAAATAAGGGGCTTGGCATAGTCTCTAGTATAAAAAATGTGGGCTATGGACCAGGCTCGGTGGCTCACGCCTGTAATCCCAGCACTTTGGGAGGCTGAGGCGGGTGGATCATGAGGTCAGGAGTTCGAGACCAGCCTGGCTAAGATAGTGAAACCCGTCTCTACTAATAATACAAAAATTAGCCAGGTGCAGTGGCAAGTGCCTGTAATCCCAGCTATTCAGGAGGCTGAGGCAGGAGAATTGCTTGAACCTGGGAGGCGGAGGTTGCAGTGAGCTGAGGTCCTGCCACTGCACTCTAGCCTGGGTGACAGAGCAATGCTCTGTTTCAAAAAAAGAAAAAAAGAAAACATAGGCTATTACTACTACTCAGGAAATATGATTAATGAGCATTTATAGTTGTTTACCTACTTCAGGACCATGGAAAAAATGTACCAAAAGCTTCTTTCAAATCACTTTGTGTTTCAAGGTTCACCTTGGTACTCATTAGTTATTTATCCCGTGGCAAACACCCAATCTAATGATGTGATTAGAAAGAATAGAGAAATAGGTATGGCAACATCCTTGAGCCTGGCCATCGATCAGAAATTAATGTCACTTGTAACACAAATCAGAGACTTTGAAGTGTTGGCACAGGATACCGGGCAAGTCAGATCAAATCCCTCAAAATAAAGGATAGAAATCTGACGTCTAAGCCCTAGCCACAGATTACATACTCCAAAACATTATGTCATAGGACACAATTCTAAGGTGAAAAGAGAGTTGGACATTAGCAGTTCACTGTGAGAGGATCAAAGAGTTACTCAAATATCTCTCACTAGCTGGCCCACCACTGCAAAGGGCAGATGGAAAGAATTTGGCTGATCACCAGTGTGTACTTACCACCGTCCTTCCATCCCTTTGAGAGCCAGGGAATAAGTTTCAGCAACATAAAGATGTAGAGAAGGGGACAGGTCTGAGAAATGGCCAAGCTCGGGACATCAACCTCTCTCTGCCTCCCCAGGCCCAGCTGCCCACGTTCGGTATTTTGCTGTAGCCACCATCTTGAAACACTTACTTTGAACAGCCGTCTAACCACCCCATCGAGCACATCCCACTTCGTCTTGCCACTAACTCCAATGCAGCCAATAAGAAAGAGGTGTGGTCTGGAATCCTAAGGGTAAGGAAATGTACACAGGTGAAAAACAGTTGGGTCTTTTCTGACTCAGTTCAGCAGAGGCTCAGGTTGCCTTAGAACTCCGCCAATGATTTGAGAGGGGAATAAAATTCCTATTTGTATTAATACCAGGTATAACTTAGGTGGAAGTAATAGTCTTAATACCTTTCCCTGCTTTACTGTTAAAACAGCAGTCCAAGAGTCAGGAAGAGAGGATTTCCTCTCTGGAATATGGAACCTTTTGCTATGTAAATGTGTCAGACAGTGCATAAATCACATATTCCTTGTCTGGAACTCTCTCCACACCTGTCTGCCACCTCTTTCTTTTCAAACCTTGCTTACAAACTCACCTCTTCCAGGAAGCCTTCAGTGATTAACCCCATCAGGCTCAGAGCTTAAATTGCTTTGGCGATTCTGCACATAACTTATATAATGATATATTCTGCACTGACTTACACTTAGTTTTAGGTATTTCTGTCTTATTTTTGCATATCAAGTTTATCTCCTTACTAGATCTTAAACACTATCAGGACTGAATGTGTTACTTTCTTCTCTCTTGTTTTAAAATAACATTTACTGTTTTTCTTCTTGTTAAAACTTAAAACGTGCAACTCAGAAAACTTGTAAAACTCTGGGAAGAATACTCTCAAAACAATCTTTTCGTAATTCTTTTTGCATCTCTGTTCACAGGGCTATGCCTAGTGGCAGCTAATCACATCACACTGATAAAGGCTGATAGAACATGCCACTCTATTGGGTTTTAAATACCTTATGTGCTCATAAGGATGTAGAGTCAGGAGAGTGGGTGGGAGGGTGACATATGGCAGCTAAGCAAAATCAGCAGAGAAAAGAGCACCAATCTTGCAGTTACATGATCTAACCCCACCACTTGCCCCGGCCTCAAATAAGTAATGCTTGGCGTTTTAAGTTTCTCAATTGTAAAATAAAGGATAACAATCTCTGGTCAACTAACCTAACGGATGCTGCAGTGATCCAGAATAATATAACTTCTGAAGGTTACTTGTTAACTTTTATAAAATGTATGCTCTATCAGTTCATATTGATGATCACTAGAATAAATAGTCCACAAAGTGTAACCTGCATTTACTGTAAAAATGAGTTTCCCAATAGTCCATCACTCTACTAGCTATATTTTGAAAATAGAGCTGTTTATTGTATATTTCAAGGCTAGATGATGCTAATGGAAGTGCCAAAATCCTGGGCTTACCCCCTATAGTGAGGCTAGCAAGCCAGTCACAAAGCGGAATCCCCCGGCTATGAAAGGTCTGATTACAGACACTTTGTTCTGTGGGTTCCCTAGCTGTCTGAAACTACAGTAGCATGTTAGCTAGAAATACTAAGAAACAACAAATAAAAAACCCAAGGGAACTTGAGATGGTGACTCATGAGGTCTTTTCCCATTTATTCGAGAGACAGTCATTGAAAACATCACTGGGTTTTAATCACTCAGTAAAATTCAACTGTCAATGTCAACTCTAGCCCCCACCTGAAAATAGTTTCTGGCAGTGGTGTAGACTTTGGAAGTTCCCAGACTTTGGAAGTGAACAGAAACCATTCTAGGAAAACTCAAGATCCCCCAGCCTTGGTGAGTCAGGACGCCCCACCAGCTCTATCTTCAGCCACCTGCATGCTCCCAGAGCTTGGCACCTCCATCTCTTGGGTGTACCAAGCTGTCTACTCTTAGTGACTGATGACTGATAAAACTGGTGCTCTTGGTCTGCTATATGTTACAGCTTATTTCTGAACCTTACACGCTAAATGTGCATAGCTGCCTCTAAAGTGCTTTGGGAGTATATTACATTCAGAAAACCCCTTTCTGGTGGATGTTAGCATTTAGTTAATTACATGAAAGTGAAATGTGGGACCATTAGTGCTCTTTATTAGACTTTCAAACACACAAGAAAGGGAAATGCCATTCGCACACTTTACTTGTGCCAAAATGCTGCAAGGGATTATGGTTAGTTAAGAGAAGTGTTAGTAGTATTTCCAAATCACCTTAGGCTCTGAGGTGATACAGGTTTTACAATTAGATCACTAAGCTAGGTAGTTCTACCTGGGAGAGGGACAGGCAGAGCAGGGAAAGGGATCCAACTAACCTCCTTCCACTTCATTTCCTCCTGAAAGCTGACAACTATCTTAACATGCCTGCCTCCTTCCTTCCGAGCCGAGCATTCACCAGTGTCATCCAGCAACATGTCTGCGAATGGAAAACATCAACAGCCTTAGGCACATGGGGACAGCAAAGCCAGCTTCCTGACACCCCCACTGCTGGGTGGCACAGCAGCGGGACAAACAGGTGTCGGGTGCAGGGGGTGGGGGGTAGGGGAAGAGGAGAGGGCAAAATGGAGAATGCAATCACAGAAACCAATGGTGGATCAACCAAGGAACCAGCAGGCTGACAATGCACCTTGCCGGATGGAAGTGCGAGGGAGAGACTCAACCAAAACAACAGCAACAGCAGCATCATGGGTAAAAAATAAAAGCATCAGCCTCGATATGCTTACAAAGAAAACCTAGATCATGTTCACTGATGGTTGCACCAGCCTGGAATCCATCCTGAAGGCAGGAAGATTATAGACCAAGCCATTGCCCCAACGGGGACCTGCTGCTATGGGGTTTGTGTGCAGCATTCAGCTCGCAGGTAAGCCTTTTAAAATGGATCAAACAGAACTTAGCATGGTGGGCAAGGGAGCCAAGCTCAGGGCTTGGAGAGTTTGGGGCACTGGAGCAAAGCATGAGAGCAGTCTAACGGCTGGGCTCATGTTGGCAGCAGACTCACACCCAGACACATACACACCCCAAGTGCACACACGCCTGTTGCCTCTCCATTTGATCTGTTGATCTGCTTATTTGGGGGCTCTCGCTTAGAGATCAGGATGCCAGCTGTAGGTCCAGTCCTGCCCCCAAGCCCTGTGAGCCACTCACCCAGGCTGGTTGACTCAGTGAGGTTCAAGCTGTGCTGGGAGAGGCCCATGGACTGCCTCGGAGAGGCAGAGATGGACACTTGGGAAGGAGCCCGGCTGCAGCCACTGCCTTGAGACTCTGACTTCAGCCGGTCATTCTCAGCTTTCAGCTTCTCTATTTCACTCTGCAAAGAGTAATGGAGAAGCTTACTTAGTAGGCAGAAGTAATATGAACAAGATTTTTCTGAAGGAAGGATCTGAAAGTTCCCTGCAGAAACCAGGTTGGTCTCCCACCCAAAGCAAACACCCTCAGAGAGATTCAGCAGTGTTTGCTGATCCTGCTGTAGACACAAGGCATGCGGGCGGGGGAGGTCCATCCATTCAGAGAACAGGCCTTTGAAAAGACCTCTGAAATGCTTCCCGGAGTCTGCTGCTTGAGGGTTAAGTGGAAAAGAGTCTTCTGAGCTAAGAGGTTTGTGCAACTCTGGCTTTTACAGGCTTCTTTACTGCAGGACTTCCCAGAACCTTTAATGAGATCCTCTACGCCATGAGTCGAACAGAGGCACATGGGGTAGTCAGCGACTCTATGTGGCTGGTGAGTAGATTCTAGGAAGAGGAGCTGGGGAGGGTGGTGTGGATTAACAGTGGAAAGGACCCCGCAGAAGGCCTCGAAGGCCAGGTGAAGAAGACGGTACCACATGCCACAGGCACCAGTCTTATGCAAAGGAAGGGCATGGGTACTCCTATTCTTTCAAAAGACTGGTCTTTGAGCAATGTGTGGGAAGGACTGAAAAGAGATAGAGGCTGGGAAAGTGAGAGCTGCCATCAGATTCTGATGTAGCCCTCAGGGCTTAGCGGAGAGCAGCCTCTGGGAGCTCCTTCCTAGACAGCCCTGGACTCAGCCCACTCTCCTGCGCTCTCACCTGCATCCTGTTCATGGCCTCCCGGAGCTGGTCCAGCTGGTGGGCAGAACTGAGAGCTTCTAAGCGGATGTCCGTCAGCTTCATCTCCTTGTCTCTCAACTCATTTCGGAGCTGCATGACGGTCTCAGCTTCACTATCCATGCATTCTGAAATCCTAGGGAAAGAGGAGTGTTACTGATGAAAGCAGCTCCTTTTAGTCCCCTACTGACCACTGGTCCATGTCAATCATCAGGTTTGTTTAGCAGTAACTATGTATAATCAGCTGCCTGGTGCTTCCTGGAGGTGATAATACCAAAAGCGCCTGAAAATAGCTTTTATTCCTTCTCTACATTCTTTCTTTGCCAAGTTCTGGCAATCAGAATGGCTTTGGTGTGCCATTCAGCAAAATTCCAATAATATAGGGATAAACAGGAGCTGGCAAAAGGGAGTAGTAACCTTCCAGTCTGATAACCTCCTCCCCGGCTGTGTGTACACAGCTGCGCTTCCCTGACACCACATGCCTTCGAGTTCCAAACCCACTCAGAGAAGCAGGGTCAGCCGTCTGTTTTAAAGATTAGAAACTCCTTTGTTAAACAACTGAGGGGTGACTTTCATTTGTCAAAATGGGGATGAAACCTAAAGATATGCGTGGAAGGAGTTAATCTTTTCCTGATCACATTCTGAAAACTCACTTCCCTAGAAGTGTCTAGAGAGATCAACCTCCTTTAGTTCCCCAGCCCCCACACTGCTTAACACACTCATGGCAAGAAGAGAAACCTCTTCCGGGAGTTAGAGACGGAATGGTGTGACACACAAGTCAAGGTTGTATCTGAAAACTCTGCAACAGCCTGACTGATTGTCTTCCTTTCTCTGCTGCACACCGGATCAAGGTCACCACGGGACACTGTTGAGTTCCTCTTTCTGAAGAGGTGGTTCTTCTAGGCTAGGCTCCTTACTTAATTACTTAGGTTTGCTCTTCAAATACCTGGCATGTCAGCACAAAGTAGAAGATCATAAATGTCGTGATGACTTGCAATGCTAAGAAAGATAGTCTTCTTTAAAAAAAAAGTTCTGTGAGTTTCTAAGATCTTAGAATCTGGGTTACTGGGTGATCCAGAATAGAAAGCTTTGATATTTCTTGGACTGAAGACAGAAAAACAACCCCCAAACACCCCGATTCTCAAGTTCATAAAGTTACAAAGCTGAAGCCGATTATGTCTGAAGGAGATGATGAGCATGCGGTCTCTGTAGAAATAAATGATCACGAGTCTGCTCTCCAAGAGCCAAGAGATGGGTTTGGGGCCAAACAAAACCTGACCTGCAAAACTGGGTGTGGGTGTGGGAATTTTAATTGCCAAAGGAAAATGATTTATAAAACTGTTAAAAGAGATGAAATTGTGTTTTGGGGGCAGACAAAACTGAAGAAAAATTTAACACTTGAATAGCCAAATGTTTCTGTTGTTCTTTTCTTGACCTGAACATGAACTGTTTTTGATTTGAGAGATACAGTAAAACCACCTTCTGTTTTTAAAAGTTACCAGTCACCAAGGAAGATTCTTAGCTTCAAAATCTTGAAAAATCCAAAGAACTCCTGAAAATGATCTAATGATTTCTATTTCACACTTTTGAGAGACTGAAGCCAATAGATTTGGAACTAAAAGGGCGAGAGAGAAATGTCTTTAGAATTTGCATCTTCCTTTCTTTCTCAGTGCTCTGTACTTTGAATAGCCTGTGGTTTGTGAGGTTTACTGATAGAACCATGCTCCTTTTCTTTTCTTTTCTTCTTTTTTTTTTTTTTTTTTTTTTTTTTTTTTTTTTTTTTTGGTTTGGGAGGTTTGCAGGAGGAGCTTGCAAAAACTGGTTCTATTTTGAGAAGATGATGGGTTTCTTGGTTTAAATGGAGTGTCAAGTCTGAACAAAATTCCACTGTGATACTCCCGCCTTAGCCAAATCATGCCCTACCTGGATCTTGAAGGCTCAGATTTGCTACAGAGAACAGTCTGTTCCGGTTCACACCGTGTGAGACTGATCTGTCCAGCACTCCATGACAAGGCACTTTGCTCAAGTCATCTTCACATGGTCTGCATTTTTTCACAGAAAGCTCTCAGCAAGAGAGAAAATACCTTTTTGGCACTCACTTTGTGGAACGTATCGCATGGGTTATTTTGCAGAGCTTGGCCAATACAATGACTTTACAATGAGTAGCAAACTGAAATGAAGACAGTCTGTGTTGGGAAGGCCTTGCCCTCCCTATGCTCCTCCAGAATCAGCCAGCTCTCAGAAACACACAGTGAGGCCTCATGAGAGAGATGCCCTATAACAGAGATGATGTTGAAAACACATTCTTTCACAGCAGCCTTAACTAAGCTTTAGTTCCTAATCCTGCTGCCCAAGACAGAGTCTTCTCCCCTAGTTCCTTCCCTGACTAGACTTATGCTATATTGCCGACAATTTCATTTCACGTAACATGTAACCCTCTGCTTGGCTGCTGGCTCCTCAGGGACCAGGATTATTCTCTGCATCATTTCTGGTGTTTGATCACATTGACAAACACATAATGGTTACCTAACAAATGCTTATGGAATACCTAAACAACTGGGCTAGGCATGTGAAGCATGTTATTCCATTTCCTTTGTACATTACTCACTCCATGCAGAGGTACTGTAATTATCTCCAGTTTTAAAATGGGGAGGCAGAGGTATGGAGACAAACGGGCCCAAGACTGCACTATTTAAAAATGATAGAGGCAGGATGAAACCTGGCAGGTCTGCTTAGCTCTAGAGCCTGTGCTCCTGAACTGTACTCACTAGGTGCTCAATACATGCTTGTCCACTTCATGAACTGCTTACTGAAGCAACTTGATGTGTGTTTTTTCCTACTCAGTCCCTTAACTGTCATTCAAGCATTTTTCCGCTGTCTTGTCCACAGTCAGGGCTGGTGGCATACCTAATTTTAAAATGCCTTGAGTGTGGGAAAATGTTGCCTTCCCACAACTACCATTCCTTTTGCCCACGGAGTGGGGAATTTTCTAAGTCCAACTCCTCTGCCTTTGGTTTTGTCTTTGAACTCCCTCTCACATCTAGATTTGCACATTCTTACAAACCTTTCAAGGTTGGAAGTAAGCATTTGCTCTCAGCCTACCCTTTGGAAAACGAGACCAAAAACAAACATCTCCAGTGTGCATGGATGCTGTGGAATTTAAAAAAAGGGCTGGGGAGCCAGGAGTCAGCCTCGCCCGATTCCTCTAGGGAAAGTAGCTTGGAGGATAGTTCTGCCACGGTCCTGCACAGCTGAGTGTATCACCACCTCTGTCTGCTCATCTTACTCGGCCGCCCAGCAGTATCTGGCCCTGTTCCTATTCCCTCCCGCAACAGTTTCTCCTCTCTGCTCCTGGGTTTCCTCCCACATTGCTGGCCAGCTGCTGTAACTCCTCTTTCTGAACTTCAAATATCAGAGTGTACTAGAGCTCAGTCCTTGCCCTCTGATCATTTTCGTCTTCACTCAACCCCTTGGAGAGCTCTTCCAGGTATCCAGCTTTTGACATCACCAATAAGTCTGTGTCTCCCACCTCTATACCTCTAGGAAGTCCAGGCTGGTCGACCTGGATATGGATGTCTGCTGGGCATCTCAAATTTAATGTGACCAAGGCAGTGCTCCAACTCCCCACTCTGCCTCCATCTGTCTCCCACTCATCCCAGTTACTCAAGCTGTAAATCTAGGAATATCCAAGGATGGCTCTTCTCTTTCCCTTGCACTCACATCTGACCCATCAGCATACCCTGCCAACTTTTCTTCAAGAATATATCCTAAATCCATCCAGGACGCACCACTGTCATCAGTCACTCATTCATTCCACCAAATATTTGAGCGCCTTCAAAACCAGCAGAGCACCTACCTCCAAGGAGCTTCTACTATAGATCTGCGGTGGGGGTGGGGGACAGAGAACAAATAATCAAGGAAAACCTATATGTCAGGCGTCAGGGGGCAACATGTGCAATGGGGAACAAATGAAGCAGGGGCAAAGGGACCGTGGGGAGCACTGGCTGGTGGTGGAATGTTGGTTTATACAAATGAATGGGCAAGGCCTTATTCATTAGGTCACATTGAGCAGAGACCTAAGGAAATCAATATCTGATGGAAGAGTATACCAGGCAGAGGACACAGGAAGGGCAAAGGCTTTGAGGTGGAGAGTGTGATTGGAATGTTCAAAGAAGAAGTGGGCCAGAGTGGCTAAGATCCCCTAGGTGATCTCCCTTCCCCATATTCCGTACATATGGAACAGAGACTGATCTTTGTAAATTCAGATTATCGCATATTTCTGTTTCAAACTCCATCACAGCCACCCATTATACATGAAATCGAATGCAAATTCACTTCAAAGCCTTGCATGCTCTAGGCCCTATGTCTGTGGCCTCTTTGCACATGTGGGAAGTCATGCTGTCCATCCCTCTCTGTCTCAGACACATCAAACCTGTTTCCACATTAGGTTCCTTGTGTTATTTATTTCTTGGGTCGGGAAGACTGCCCTGCTCATTGGGGGCTGGGGTGGCAGAGGCTGCTATGTGTTCACCAAAGCCCATTTCCTCCTTTACTTCTTCCCCTGCAGGTAGTATGGCTTTGAGTCCTGCTCAGTGGACTGCAGGAAAAGGTGACATAAGCCTCTTCCGGGCCTGGTCCTTAAAAATCCTTCTGCAGGTTCCTCTGCCCTCCTCATATCCCCACGCCCAATGGCTGGACACAGAGCATTGAGCAGAGAACTGGGCCCTGTGGATGGTGGGAGCCTCGGTGCCTACATCACTAGAGGGCAGGCTGCCTGCTGACTAGGACTAACTGTATTGGGTTTGGAGTGAGCAAGAAATAAACAGTCGTATGTAAAGCTGCTGAGCATTGGGCTGAGTTTATTACAGCAGCTAATGTTATTGACTGAAACTAACCCAGTGGTTCTCCCTGGCATGCAGATCTCAGCTGAAATGTCACCTACTCAGAGGGGTGTTTCCTGACAACCCCGTCTAAAGATGCTGCCAAGGGTCTCTGTATCTCAGCACTGTTTTAAATCACAGCATTATCCCTTAGCACTCTCTGATTTTCCTAGTTTATTCAGGATTTGTTTAACATTCATCTCCTCTCTTGGTATACAGGGTCTATGAGTAGGAGCTTTGTCTTGTACTCTACCATAACTACAACTGAGAATGGGGCCTTCAGAGTTCAGGAGTAGAATGAACTGTACTATGTCATGCCTCCTCTAGTCTTCAGCCTTTTCAGAGGTGGAAAATCTGTTTAACTTCTTTTTCTTTTTTTTTTTTGTTTTGAGATGAAGACTCGCTTTGTTGCCCAGGCTGGAGTGCAGTGGCATGATCTCGGCTCATTGCAACCTCTACCTTCTGGGTTCAAGCAATTCTCTGCCTCAGCCTCCCAAGTAGCTGAGATTACAGGTTCCCACCACCACCCCTTGTTAATTTTTGTATTTTGAGTAGAGATGGGATTTCATCATCTTGGCCAGGCTGGTCTTGAACTCCTGACCTCATGATCCACCCGCCTTGGCCTCCCAAAGTGTTGAGATTACAGGCGTGAGCCACTGCACCCGGCCTCTTTTTTTTTTTTTTTTTTTAAATAGAGACATGGTTTCATGCTGTCACCCAGGCTGGAGTATAGTGTGATCACAGCTCACTGAAGCCTCAAATTCCTGTGCTCAAATGACCCTTGTACCTCGACCTCCCAAGTAGCTGGGACTACAAATATTTGACACCATGCCTGACTAATTATAAAAACATTTTTTTTGGTAGAGACAGAGTCTTACTATGTTGACCAGGCTGGTTGCCAGCTCTTGGCCTCAAGCAATCCTCCCTCCTTAGCCTCCCAAAGCGCTGGGATTACAGGCATCAGTAACTGCACCTGGCTTGGTTAACATCTTTTTGGTTTCTTTAGAGCATCTGGAATAGTGCTCTGCTCAAACAGGTTGCTATACAAAAAATTAAATCAATCAATAAAGAAGAGATGACGAGCTCCTTTTTCTCCTGGTCAGGAGACAACTGAGTCGGGATGTTTTGGGATGATGGCATGTGTGAGAGTCACAGGCAACTTGTTCTTTACTCCTTCCTTAGGCACTCTGCAGATAAAAGAGGACTCTCAGTCATGTGTCTAGTTCTTCACTCAGAATAACACAGGGTACTGGGCTGGGCACCACAGCAGCACACTAAAGTCCAGTCCCTCAGTGGTCTCTTTCCTTCCCCTGTTCAGTTTTACCCTCACCCGTAACAACAGGAAGTACATATCCCTGTAGCCACCCTCTTACTAGGGTGCTCCCCAAGAAAAGAGGAACTGATCATCGAACTCAGTAAAATGGAGACCCTGACAGTGTCATGTTTTAATAGCAGGTGCGGTTGCTTCAAAGTCATAACCCTACTATCCTCTGTTTCCTCTCTTCCACTTCCCATCTTCCATGCAGTTGGTGTGCTACAAATACCTGGCCCCTGGACAGGCTGATTTTGCCTGTTCTCCCTCTACCCATCTGGTAAGCTGCTAAGGCAGGGCCTTAGGACACTTACACTGTCTTCAGTGGGCTGGCTGACTAAGTGGACTTAGAGTCAGCTCCACAGACCTTCTCCAATGAGAATGAAGAAAGATGAACAGGAAGGAAAAGGCCCTTCATGCATAGTATTTAATTTGGCCCTCCCAAAACCAGTGAAGTAGATATAACGAATCCCATTTTTACTAGTGAGGAAACTGAAGTTTATACAACCGAACTTCTTTCTCTAACCCTATCCCAGTGGCTGTTCTGACCCTGGCCATGACTTCCCTCTTCTCCCAGGCACTGTCTGATCTCACTGATAACTTTCCTTGTGCTCCAGTTCTTTAATTCTCAACCTGGTATACCATGGTCTCAAAAGAAATTCAGCCCTACTGGGGAGGGCCAGACTTTCTTACTGCTGCAGGAAGCAAGCTCCTTTATATCAATTTATCTTGTTCAATTCTTAGGGCTAGGGTAAGTACACAACAACCATTACCCAAACTGACATGTAAAGGTATGGAAACAAGGAGAAGCGAAGCAACCTGCTAGCTGTGGACGCTGATGCTACCAGAACAAAACCCTGTTTCCTTTCTCTTTCAGCTTTCCCAGTACTAAAGCATTGAAAGAACACGCCCAGTCCTACTAAAGCAAAGCATAACAGGTCTCCTAGATATTCCTATTGGAGAGGGTTCTCAGGGGCCAAAGATGTCATCTGACTAGACAGACAGACTTACAGAGAGTTGGAGTGGGAATTCCTCAGCAGTGGGGTGGAACCTGTGGACCCGTTGTGTGGTAACTTTGGTGAGGAAGGCAAAGAAGAATCCGTCATCTCCTCAATGTCTGAATGAGAGGACGCAGATTTGGGGGACTTCTTCTTCCCGAAAGCTTGCTTGAAGGAGCTGCGTAACTGAATATACAAGACTGTCAGCCTCGCAGCCGGGGCAACCAATGCTTAGGCGTTGGCAAAACAGGGACATGCACACAAAAAAGCGATTAATTCTCTCATGTTTTCCCCCACCAATGGAAAAGGTTCCCAAGAGCTCTTTTGAATCAGTGCATTAAGGGAAGAAGAGTTATCTGGTGTTGCCAGCTTGAGGGACTGCACCTGTGGGTAACATTCCATGCCTACTCTTGGTTCAAGACTAGATGCCAACAGCAAGACAGAGCCTGGCTCAGCAGATGGATGCTGGGAAGATGAGGTTACACAGCAACAAAGCAGGATGCTCAGACATGGTGACGGATGCGGATGAGGTTAGTCGTATCAATGGATGGGTTAGCTTGGTATCTGATATTAAAGTTGGTCTTGCTTACCTCATTGACCTGCCAGAGGAAACGCAAGCAAAAATGGGGAAGGGGGAGGAAAAAAGACAATTTTTTAACAGAGAAAGCCAGTGACAGGGAAAGCTTCGGACTTTCAGACACAACATGGCTAATAATAAACACCACACACAGGGGAGGTTTCCAGTAGGAGCATAAATCTTTAAAAGCACTGGGGGCATGTTCCTCCTTTCTGAAAGGAAGGGAATAGCAGGCTGGCGAGTCTTCTACAATTCCATTTCTTCCAGCTTTTCCCTGCCTGGCCGAAATGGCTGCCTCCCACCTTCCTGTGCTTCTCCTTCTCTTCTTTTCTCTTGGCAGTCACCTCTCTGTGCCTTAGTTTTTTTGGGGAGGGTGGAGACGATGTCTTATTTTTTTGAGCAATTCTAGGTTCACTGTTACACTTGCCCTGGATGGCTGCTTAACCTAACCACTTAGGAGTTTCTGCTATTTGTGAATATAAGAAGATAATCTAATATGCAGCATATTAGCCATCTCACTTGTTACTCAGAAAATCCTTATTTCAAAGAAATTTATTAACTATATGGGGGAAATGTTACAGTTTCCCCAAATCATGGGATGAATCTGAAAATTCTTTTTCCCCCTATTGCAGGAACATAAAGAATTAAAGTGCAATGTCTTCTCTGAAAGTTATAATCAGCACTCATTTTTCTTGGCCAAAAACTAATGTTGCATCTTGACAAAAGGCCTTTTAAAAGTAATTTCTCTTTTCTAAAGTGTTTTTTCCTTGTGAAAATATATTCCAGGGGTTTTCTTAGCCATTGAAAACTTCAGAAAACAGGGCATTCTAAAAATTGATGAGATTTTTCTCCCATCAACAGGTTGCATCCGTAATAAACTACATGTCCAGCTTTTGGGCAAATCTAGATCCCATTTATCTCCCATTTCCTACTTCTCATCATATTTCCAGAGAGTAGTCACAGAAACAGAAGGATTAGGGACACAAGCCATCAACCGAAATCCTTGACTTTACCTCTGGTAAAAAGCCAGGTGGAAGAGGAGATTACAAAGATCAGACAGAGCTAAGCTTTGGGATTAGCTGAGGATGCCAATTATCCATCTTCCCTGATTTGACTGATAACCAGGCGTTGTCTTAAAGCAACATATGCAAGTTTTATTTCTTGAGGAAAATAGAATAGCCACTATTTTTCACAGAAAATATCTCTCGTCACTTTGAAAATCAAAGCAGACCATGTTTATCAATTGCATATTAGAGACAGCAATATGAATTAATCCTATCTGTGTTTAGTCATAACAAATAAATTGACTAAGAGCCATTAGTAACTTAAAAAAGAAAAATTAATCAGAATGATGAGAGGGTCACACTAAGCTGGCTTTTTAGCTTGCTTCCAATGCAAGTCATTGACAACCAAAATGACTAAATCCCTAATGTCTCTATCACTAGACCTCGCCACCCATCCAAGATAACACAAAATGAGTGAGAAGTGTACAGAATGAATGAGGACGCTGTAGCTACTAGTGAAACAGGATGCCATCAGCACAAAGGGGGCCCAGAGGCCACTGGTCAGCTCCGGATCAACTTGGGATATTCTTGTACTGAAGACAAGGGATAGCAAATCTCAGAGCTCTGCAGCCTTGAAAGCACAGCTAAAAAACTGGATGGAGAGTGAGGGGTGGAATTTTTCTAGGAAAGTAGAAAACACCACTGCACACAATTCAAATAACTCTTTGGGATTATGAATACATGAAGAAACACTGCAATGGAGACTGATTCTATGAAACTTGCTATTTGAGGTACAACCCTCAGTTTAGAGCTACTTGCTAACTTCTAACATTGATATTAGGAAACTTTTATTTACAGGACGTGGTCAAAAAGTTTTCAAAGAGAGGGTTGCTTTGATGCTATCCTAAGCAATTATATAAATAAATAGATAATGATTATGGCTAAAGATGGGACAACTAGCGATATGCTCAAAAAAATATTTTGGATCTAACTAAGAAGAAACCACTTAAGAATAACTTTGCTCTAGTACCCGAAACTTTGTGGCCAACATATAATGAGGAAGAAATGACACATATATGAAATGAAAGATGAGTACTTTATGAAAAGTCTCATGAAAGACGGAAAAAATACAAGGTGGTAGGGATGTTATAGATTCTAGTGTTTTGCTGAGCACCATATTGATTTTAGTAAAAACCTGTCCACAGCCATTTCCTGGGATCTACTCCCGAAGGGCTGTGTTCCACACATAGTAGCTGGGCTGGGCTTTATCTGGGCGGATGCACCGGCCAGTTCTGTAACTGACTCTGTCTGTCAGTTCCCAGGAAAGTGTCTGGGTATGCACTCACCCAGTTCTTCCTCTTCTTCTTCTTTGAGTCACTCTCTATGTTGCTGCCCACGCTGGAGTGGCTGGTGGCACTGTTGATGCTGGAGACGCTGTCTGAGGAGTGCTGCCTGCGGATGCGGAGGTCTGCAGACTGGGCAGTGCCGTTTCCTAGAGACCAAGGCAGGGCGTATCAGTGGCTGTCAACCTGAGCCCTGCTCTTTATCTCTTTTGCCACTTAAGCAAAACCCACCCACCCGAGGACTACTAGACTGTTCCACTAGTAGTGTGTTCCACTTAGACATCACCTCTGTTCCCTGTAGCTGTTTCTAAGATTCTTGAATAGGTGGGTGCATTGCCCTCTTTGGTCAATTAAATGAGGTCTATCTCTCCCCACTTTACACAACAGAAGTCAAGGGAGGTGTAGGGAGAATTTCCCCAACAGCTGTTAAGCTTTAGACAGGTGAGGAAATCTGCTTGTGAACTGCAGCAGTCGTCACCTTCATTGCTAGCCCCCTCCTTGTCCTGCTCTCTGGGCACCCGCCACAGTGGCCTTCTTTGGAAGTGATATGCCTACCTCATCTAGGGCCTTTCCATGTGCTATCCCTCTACCTGGATGTTCTTTTCCCTTCACTCCATCCAGCTAACTCTTTTGCAAATCCTTCCCATTTCAAAGCTATCATCACTTTTTCAGGAGGCCCAATAGAGGAAGAACACTGATATGGAAAATGTGTGATATCTGACATAAAATTTGCAGATAGTTTTCCTAATTAGAACAGAACTACACCTAAAGGCTGATCTTTGAGAACACTGGTTGGAAGGTCAGGCTGATTCATCAGGTTCTAGCCCCACTTCCGTTTCTCCCTAATCCCTAACCTTAAAAAGTGACTCTTGGCTCGACGTAGTGGCTCACACCTGTAATCCCAGCACTTTGGGAGGCCAAGGTAGGCAGATCACTTGGGGAGTTTGAGACCAGTCTGGCCAACATGGTGAAACACCTTTTCTACTAAAAATACAAAAGCTAGCCAGGCATGGTGGCGTGTGCCTGCAGTCCCAGCTACTCAGGAGGCTGAGGCAGGAGAATCACTGGAACGTGGGAGGTGGAGGTTACAGTGAGCCGAGATTGTGCCATTACACTCCCGCCTGGGGGACACAGTGAGACTCCATCTCAAAAAAAAAAGAAAGTGACTCTCATCTATGAACCCTAGTGCCCCCATTAGTACAATGAGGAGAGAAGAGAATCACACTCACAAGATTGTTGTAGAAAGAAAACCAAATAATCAAAACATTGAAACACTTAGCACTACGCTTAGAACACAGTAAGTGTTCCATAAATGCTAGCTATCCATATTACTACTATGATTGCTACACTGTTAATATTATGAGAGCTAACTCACCTGCACTCCTCCATTACCCCAAGATACACAAGGACAAAGTAATTTACTTAGAAATATTTTCCTGGGCTGGATGCAGTGGCTCGTGCCTGTGATCCCAGCACTTTGGGAGGCTGGGGAGGGTGGATCACTTAAGGCCAGGAGTTCAAGACCAGCCTGGCCAACATGGCAAAACCTTGTCTCCACTAAGAATACATAAATTAGCCAGGTGTGATGGTGCATGCCTGTAATCCCAGCTACTTGGGAGGCTGAGGCAGGAGAATCACTTTAACCCTGGAAGTGGAGGTTGCAGTGAGTCAAGATTGCACCGCTGCACTCCAGCCTGGGTGACAGAGCAAGACGCTGTCTCAGAAAAAGCAAAGAAAAGAAAAGAAATGTTTTCCTGGACAAATAAGGAAGGAACTCAGTTCAGCTTATCCCACATATCAGCATGTAAATATCAGAGTGCTAGTGAAATGAAAGGTTGTAAAACATTTTAACGTTCTGGCAATAGAAACATGTTTTCATTTTCAGATATATCAGAGAAGAGGATGAACTACCATAGCCATCTTCATGGAGGCCAGAAGTGACTCGATTAAGGTATTTGCCTTCCAGGTCCTGCCCTCCTGACATGGAGCTGAATTATGCAGACACCTGTCCTCTAGCAGGGAGGTTGCATCATATGATGGCAGAGGAGGGCTCCTAAGGGCAGGCAGGTCTTCTGGCTAAAGGCTGTTTCCCTCACTTTACCTTTGCAGTTGAGCTCAGGTGTGTTAATTACTCCATTAATGGCAGCCTGGGCAGCTGCGTTCTGTTTCTTTAGCAGCTCAATGGTTTTTCTTAACTCATTCAGTTCTGAATCCTAGGGAACAGAAAGAATTATTTGTCAGCCTAAAATCATCCTGTACAGAGTTCAACTGAAGTATAACTTAGCTTCAACACAGGAGGGGAGTGAATGAAGTAGTTCAACCAAACCTTTCAGATGGATCAAGGGGCATGAACAAACACATAAGAGTAGGGTTATAACTACGAGATCTATCATTGATGCCCTTATCACTCAACCTGTCATATTTTCACTCAACAGGCTGGACTCCTTACAATTAAACTTTAACAGTTCAAGAAGTACATTAACATCCGTACAATGATCTGAAATGAAATATAATGATATGAAACGAAAGAACAGAATTTTCAGGTTTGTTGTTGGCTCCAAGGGGGTGGCGACGGTGGTGGTGGTGTAAAAGTACCCTTTCTGACTTACCTTCTGCTCAGCTGTCATTGTCAGACTCTGGAGCCTGATTGTCATGTTACCAAGGCTCTGTTCAAAGGCTGCCACAAGGTGAGCCTGGAGGGGAAGACACAGCCTCAGTTATATCACCTTACAAGGCAAGAGTGCTTAGAAGGGCTGGCTCTGAACGATGGAATTCCTGTGGGTCCACTTGATCTAGGCTACTCCTTCAGCCTCCTCTTGAATCCCACTCCCCACCCTCTTTGGGATCTAGTCACTCCAGTCTTTTACTTGCCCAAACACCCCAGTGCTCCTTCTCACCTTGGGACCTTTGTAAAAACCTTTTCCCCTCTACCTGAAATGCTCTTCCTCTCACACCTTTCTCCCATTCCTTGCCTAATAATTTTTACCTGTCTACAAGCACTCCCAGCTCATACCTTCATGACACCCTCATATGCACTCTCACAAGCAAACTGTACTTCTGACTACACTTTGAGATATCACAGTTAAAAATACATGCAGTCTTGTAACTGTTCGTGTATGTCTGTCTTTACTACAGTGCAGGATGATCTGCTCACCAAGTGCTAAGCTCACAGCAGAGGCTCATATTAAGCATGTTAGTAGAATGAAAAAACAAAATGGTTGGCACAGTTTGCTTGTTATAATCCTGGTTAATAAAAAGCCACTGAAAGGCCCATCTGCTACCTCCTCGGAGAAAGGTTTCCCAGTTCCTCCAGGGAGTTACCACTTTCCCACAGGCTTGCACGTGCCTTTATACATGCCTGTTAGAGTATGACATAAGATGTACCATTATTTTATATTTCTAAGAATTTTTAAAAATGCTTCCAGTTATGAGTAAAATAGCAACCAATTTTCAGGGATGTTAAACTACAAAAAAAAGAAGAGAGTATATCTAAGACTTGGGAAATGTGGCATTTTCATGACTGCCACTTTCTCTACAACTCTCTTGAAGGGTAAGAGGTAACTTTGTGTCCCAACACTAAACTTTTGCCTGCAACACAGTGTAGTAGGTGATATATTAGTTGACTGAATGAGAATCCTGGTAATGTTATTAAAACCAAGAATAAAGAACGGGTGCTTTTTCAAACAGTCATGCTAACGAATTTCTAGCAATAGACCAAAGAATCTATTTGGCAGCTAGGATCTTCTAACCTCCAATCTCTACTTGTGTAAATGGAATAACGGCATGTCCAAGAGTGAGAGGCATTTGGGCAGCAGACGAGACAGATCACCAGACTATGCACTTGATGAGGGCTGACACCATGTCTATCTTGCTCCTCACTGTATCCACACTGCTGGTACGAAAACAGCCACTCGATCATGTATGTTGGATGAGTGATTAAAGGATCGAGAAGAAAAGCACTTAGATGCAGGAGGCAGTGTAGCACAGGGGAAGGGAACAGGATTCAGAGTTAGAGGTCTTCAGCTCTCCCTGTAGTTCCTTTTGATTGCCCATAACACTGAGCAAATCACCTAATCCTACTGGCCTCGGCTTCATCTGTGAAATTGTACCAATATCTGTTTTCCTACCAGGGTTATTTTCTGTGCTAAATGAAACAAAACTGGTGAAAATGGTCTATGAACTGTTCAGGAACTGCAAAACACAGGAATGCATGGACACCTGTGGGGGAAGAAAGGGGTCTGGGAACAATAAAGTGACAAGAGAAACTATGAGAGGAGTGAGAGCACCTGAGAACACAGGTGTAGGAACGGGGAGTAGAAACACAGTGAGCTACAGGACGGACGAGAGGTGCAGAGGATACATGGGAGGATCTTGGGAGAGGTAAGATTTCTTCATGCTGTAAAATTTGAGAGGAAGAGATGACTGACGCACACAGTGAGGAATGAATGCTGGATAAGCGGGGTGAGGGAGATGGGGAGGGTGGGAAGAAGCTTTGACTGTGTACTGTGAGGAGGCGCAGTGACATTTCAATGTAAGGAGAGATGTGAGGGGTGAAGAGAGGCCTGTTATTAGACTTCATCAAACAGGGATGGTGGAGGCTACGACATCTCTAGAATCAACTGCTGGCAGGGAGCATTTCCACTTGCAGTAGAAATGTTAAGTGGAATAGTCAGTTTCTCTCTGATTGCACTTCCTCTATTAAAAATGGAGACAGCGCCTCTGCATTTTAAAATCAAGAGATATGCTTTTGTTTGCCCTGGAGAGTATGGCAAAACTAAAGCCAATCAATTCAATATAGTCACATAATTGACAAAGGAAACAGGCCAGGACCTGGATGTCTAAAAGAGCATTTGCTATCCCTGTAGTGCAAAGGAATGAAAAAGTTAAATGTAAATGATTGGATTTCCATTGATTTCAGCTCTGCACTTGATTGTCACCCATAATTCCAGTTATGTACATTCCTATTTTCTATTCAATTAAAAATAAAAATAAAAACCTGACCCCATGCAGACTGCTATTGAGAAGGTGTTTTTGCAAGCTTAAAAAGAAACCATATTTGCTCTGGAGATCCAGAGGATCCCATTTTTCTGGTAAGCAAAAGGGCTGCCTTTGTGTCATTAGCCCAACTATGAAAATACAGGCTGCGGAGGCCGTTCCAAGCCTGGTTCAGAGCCACACAACAGCCTACTCATCAAGCGCCACGCTCACATTCCCAGGGAAAACAAACACAAGTGGTATGAAAACATTCAGAGAAGGTGGCTTTGAGTAGTTTGTCCTGGAAAAACAAATACAGCTTGGTTTGCCAGAAAGATGGCAGACAATAAAACATGTTCGCCCTTCCAGTGGTGTGCGGCAAGACTAAATATTTACTTTCAAACAATACTGGATTCAGTGCCTTTTATGAGGAAGAAAACACTCTTCTGGAATAATATAAGGGATCTCACTCTGACTCTTCTAGAACAGACAGCAGAGTTCCACATGGCCCAAGGTGAGGCTCAAATGGCAGCACAAGGTCACTGGAACAATTAACCCGAGTTCACTGGAGAGTAGCTCAGCATCACTGTGGTTTGACAAGGGCTTGCTGTCAAACCACACATTTGGATTACACCCAGAAGACTCTGACTTGCTGGGTCTAGAGTTTGTTCCGGATTCAAATCTACACATTTGATTATCCAGATGAAGAATCTGCCCATGGAATAGAACCTACCTACAGAATACTGTTTTTCTGAATAGGACCTACGCCTCAGAATTAAGCTCTCATGTCAGATTTTAAAGTTCTTTTGATGGCATTACCGGTGGTAGAAGAGGTAAAGAAAATAAAAGATTACAAAACACATCGTGGTGTCCTAAGTTAGGGTTTTTTAAAAAAATTAAAGATTTCCAGAAAAGAAAGAGAACTTAGGAGGCTACATATTAGTGCGGGCAGCTAGCAGTTACTGAGCTCATAGCTAAGGTCAAGCACTGTACTAGGTAATTCGCATGCCAACTTAGAGAGAAATGGTTCCCTTGAGTAAACTAAGGCTTGAGCTTGGAATACCATGGCAAAAACTCCAGGGAAATGACTAATGTGGAGGACTGACTCAGTTGTCTAGTGAAAGGAAGGCAGCATTTTGAAGTTGGTTTCCATTTTAATGACATGCTGAGGTCATGCAGATTGCTTTCTATGTAGCTTGAACATATTTATCAATGCGCTCAGCCTGGGTAGTGAACTCGTGGGCAGCAAGCCTTGCCTCAGAGGCACCTCAGCACCTTTTGATACCTCAGGCTCTGTCTGCTGAGCTTCAGCCTTCACCTGGTCACAGCTCTGCAGCAGGACTCCTATACAGACAGGGCTGATGGGGATGGGGAATGGGGGACCTCTGCCTCTACTCTGATCTTCTATCCAAAGTGCAAACCAGGCCATCCGCTGCTTACTTAAAACTCAATGAGAGGTCTCTACTAACTTCAGGAGGGAGCCCAGATGCTCACTCCAACAGCTCAGACACTGTGATCTGACCCCTTGCCTTTCTTCGATGCCTTCTTCCTCCCTACTTCTGTCCCCTCTTCACCTTACCTCTCCTCCACATCCAAGCCACAGATACTAATTACACCAACCTACTGAGAGTTTGAAATACACCAAGATCTTTCTCCTTAATCTTTGTGCAAATTATTCTCTTTGGTTAGAATGCTCTCCTCCCTATGCATTCTCCCTTACATAGCATCCATTAGACGTCACCTCCTCCAGGAAGTCCTTCCTGCCCACCTTTTTAAAAAAATTTTTTCTTATTTTCAATATCTGATGAGCTGTCCCCTTTTTCATCCCTCACCAAGAGTGAGCGAGGTGCTCCCCCTAGATATTCCCACTACCGTCTCCTCCCTTTACCTTAACAGTTATCATGTTATAGCAAAATTGTCTGTTTTGTCTCTCTGCCGTCCCAGAAACTGAATGTTAAGACATCAGTCACTGTGCTTGCTCTGCTGCTGAACCCACAGGCCCAGGGAACAGCTGGTGCTCAAACCATTGTTGAATTGGCAACATCCCCTGAACACATAATCATGTGTATTATAATAACAGAGCAGCTACCTACATATTGGGAAGAACTACATTTCTTTTCTTCCCCCTTCTTTCCTTTTTGCTTTTGATTTTTCTCCCTTAAAATCAAAATTTTCAGAAAGAGGAAGATAAATTAACATGTTAACGAGCACTTCATATATGGCAAACATAGACCATGGGCCAATATTGAGAGGTAAACACTCTCACCCTCGTTACATAGGTGAGCACATGCAGGCTGAGATTCAAGAACTTACTCAAAGTCACAGAGCCAGTAAGTGTCCAAACTGACATTCACATCCATGATGCTAAAGCCTGTGTCTTTTTCTTTACAATGTGCTACTTCTATTTGTTCAGCACAGGAGGACTTGAGGCTGCTCAGAAGGCAAGGATGGTGCTTCCTGTCCCGATGCTACCGCCCTATGTCTGTACTTACATTTGCTGTCAGCTGGGTGGTCAAAGCTGAAACTTTCTCCTGGGAGGCATCCAGTTCCCGCCGCAGTTTGCGAATCTAAAGATGACAAGGGAGAGGGTTACATGCTTTGGGAGTCCATTTCCAGGGTGAGCAGGGTCAAATAATTGACAATAGCGAAAGAGGAAATCCAACCAGCAAGCTCTTCCTTACCTCTGACTGGCATTTTTCTTCTGGCTGTAAAGAAAACATAAAGGAAATTAGACCAGTTAAGGAACAAAGAATAGTCCAGCCCACCAGGAATACTATATTCAGATACTTGCAGCAGTCTGGAAGATTTACTAGTTTATTTTCTGGTATATTTCTCTGGATAAATTGGTTCAATTAAATTGATCCATCAGAAAGGCCAAATGCAAACAGCATATTATTTTCAAAAATTAGGGAGAATGAGAATACCACTCCACATTTCGGTTGTGTGGAGGCACTCTGCTCCCCAGACGGGGATGGTGATAGGTAAGGTGTGCAGGAGAAGGTATGTGATGAGAAGGCCATGAGTCAGATTTAGTAAATAAAAATACAGGAGGCCTAGTTAAATTTGAATAGCTTTAAAAAAAAAAAAAAAAAGGCTAGGGCCAGGCATGGTAGCTCATGCCTGAAATCCCAGCACTTTGGGAGGATGAGATTGGTGGATCACTTGAGGTCAGGAGTTGAAGACCAGCCTGGCCAACATGGTGAAATCTATCTCTACTAAAAATACAAAAATAATTGGCCACGCATGGTGGCATGCACCTGTAATCCCAGCTACTCGGCAGGTTGAGAGGCAGGAGAATGGCTTTAACCTGGGAGATGGAGGTTGCAGGGAGCTGAAATCATGCCATTGCATTCTAGCCTGGGCAACAGAGGCTGCCCATCTCAAAAAAAAAATAAAATAAAATAAAGCATCTAATTTTGTTACTAAAAAAAATTTTTGTTGTTAATCTAAATTTCAAATTTAATTGAGTGTTTTGTGTTTTCTCTGGCAACCCTATCTAGGGAGCAAGGAAAACTGCTCTTGGGCTAATTCTGCCCCATTTTCTGCCCTCCTCTCACTTCCCTAGGGCACTGCAGTGGGAGAATGGGAGCAGCAGGGTAGAAAGACCTCAAAGTGAGAGGGGTTTGGGAGCCCCTATTGGCCATCCCAGTAACTCCACAGGCTGTGAGAATAAATGTGGCCTTCATCTTCATGCTGCCCCGTTCAAGGACCCCAATTACCTGTGACCCTGTGGAGTAAGGGTGAACTCTGTTACCCCTCTTACTGGCTTCCCTCTTTGTTCCTTCCATGCTGGCTCTGTGTCTGTAGTGACACAGGTACCTGCCAGCCAGAAACTATAAGACCCTGTCTCTTCCCATAGGGGGAGTCCACATGGGTTGGGGAACCTACTGCAGGAGGAACCTTTCTGTCCCTGTCCTCTAGTTCCCACAGGGGCTCATAAAAGAGAACCTACCCAGTTCCTGGAAATATTGATTGCTCCTGACCTCTCCACTCATCACTGTAATTTCTCCAGGGAGGGAAGAGTGACTTGGGAACGAAGTAGGTGACTGAACATCAGTAAGAACTCTATTTTGTCCTTGGGTCTTCTCTAAGTGTCCTAATCCAATTTTACTAGGAATAAGCCCATTATTTTTCAAAAATCAGCATCCGACCCTGATGTTGACATCTCCATGAGTTCACAATACAAAGTGGGTATAATTCATTAGAACTTGCAGAGCCCATATCCATCAGCTGGAATAGGTGGGCAGCTGCTTCCTGTCTGATCTCCCTTCACCCTGTGCTCCCCATTGTCCTCCCTCCTGATCCTGCCCACGAGTCCCCTCCTCTAGGATGGCTCCTAATAGCAGCAACCAATTTTTAAATACACAGAGCCAAGTCATTTAAACCTTGCAGAAACTCCATTAGGTAGGTTTGTTTGTATTCCTTCCGAGGTTCAGAAGGGTTGTGTCTTGCCTAAAGTCTCACTGAACAACCTCCTTATCTAAGAAATGCTTTCAGGAGAAGGTTGGAAGATATCCTTAGAGCTCACTCTTCCCTCCCAGATACTATTCATTCATCTTTGTCTGTCTGTCCATCCATCGTCACTACCACCACCTATCAAATATTTACTGACTTCCCACTGTGTGCCAGGCACTGTTGTTAAGAATCTGTGATAAAGCTGTGAACACGACCAAGTCCCTGACTTTTTGTTGCCTGCATTCTGGTAATAACAGCTAGTATTTATTGAATGCTTACCATCTGCCACAGACAGTTCCAAGCATTTTACATTCATTATTCATCTGATCCTTATAACAACTCTTTGAGGAGGTACTAATACTATTGCTTTCTATTTTGCATATGAGGAAACTGAGGCGCAGAAAAGTTCAATAATTTGCCCATGGTCACAGCCAGTAAGTGGCAGAGTTGGGACTGGATCTAAAGTAGTAGTCTGGCTCCAGAGCCTGTGTATATTCTCCTGGACTTTTACTACAGCTACATTCTCATGGAGGCTTTCTAGAAATAAGCCCCCTGAGTTCAATCCAAAGGGTACAAGTTAATGGTGAGAACATAAGCACCATTTAACATTTGGAAGGCTGGTGGAGGCCTGTCAGAAGGCTTAAACATCCACATAGGACCAGACCTACTTTGAAACACTTCCACTGACAGGCCCTAACAGCCCTTCCCCATGCCTCTGCCACTGTCTGTCACTGTGCCCACCTGTCTCTGGGATTGGGCCCCTATTATCAACAGCAGCCTAGAGAAAGCATGTGCTTTATATCTTGCCCCAGTTGCTGCTGTTCTGCACATCTGGGAACACTATGTGATACTGCTAGCCGCCGTCCATTCAGCACCTCTCCTGGGAACTCAAGTGCTCCCTACCAAACAGGAAAACAAGTTTGATGCCAGAGGTGGCCTTTGATATTTTTCTCTACTCTAATAAGAGTTAGTCATAACTTTCCCATGGCAATCATTTAGCATTGTGTATTCTTTTCTTTCACTTATAATTAAAATTGCAGGCAAATTTCATGCAGAATGAGCATTCTTGAACATTCATTATAGAGGTTACAAGGAAAGAACCTACTGTCATCCAATAAAAGCTTTTAAAACTCTCAGCTATTAAGCAGGCTCCTTGGTCTGAGTCTGTGGCAACTTAACAGATTTCAAAGATCTCTTTTTGGACAACGAATAAGAACTTTACAGCTAGTGCTTGACTTATGACCACGATTGGACTTATAACACGATTTGGTCGTAAGTTGAGTAGGCTATATGTACAGTTGAAATGGTAAACGCGGAGATGGTAGTGCTGCCGGAAGCTGGTCCGCACTGCTGTACGCCCAGCTGGGCAACGTTTGCGCTGCCAGATGCGGAGCAGTCATGGCTAGCAATTGTGGTCGTAAAGTCGAATGGTCTTAAGTTGCATAGGTGGTAAGTCGATCAATACCTGTATTCACCTTAACATTTACAAAAGTGCCTGGGGCATGTGTTTCAGAATTTCATCATCACCAAGAAGGTAATAATAGATAAAGGACCACATTTCAGTGCTAGACGGTAGCAGAGTCTAGCCAGACTTGCAGTTTTTCTTGAAATTGGTAGACTGCATGAGCATAAGAACATTCAAATGTTAGGCTATCTTTTTTTTTAGTCTGCAAAAGCAACCCATATTCTCAGAGAGGGCATATGTGAAGACAGTAAATGGGAGCCTTTGACTCCATGACTCACGGAATATCAGAGATTGTAGGGAGCTCAGAACACCTCGCTCAGTTTCCCAGTGCCAAGGGCAAAACTGGAGAGACACTCTAAATAACCAGCTGATTTGCCCAAAGTCACATGGCAAGAAGAACGCTAAGATTACACCTCGGGTCTCTTGTTATCCATATAAAAATGGAATTTAAAAGTATTATTATTAGGCATTTGCTAATTTGTTGAATTTATATGAGCTTTTCAAATGACAATTTCAAATATCATGAAAACAGTATCTTCATGTCCGCACACCCAGAACAATAGCTACTGAGAGGGCTTGGTTGGCATGAAGGGGCTGCTCCCAGGAACTGCATGTGACTAGGAAACTCCTAGATCTGAAGACACACAGGTTGAGAAGCTTATGCTCTTTCCCTTCAAGGCTGGTCAATGCTGGCCAGTCTCCCATTTTTCACTCTTCTAAAAAGCCCATTCCCCTCTGTGTTGACAAGAACCCCTGGGAATGCCACAGGGCAAATATGGGGCTGGGCACTGAAACATCTACTACAGCTTCTCAGTGCCCGCCCTGTGAAGCTAGAGTCCCATGCCCCTCTGGTGCCTATGGCTTCCTCCTTCAGTAGCAGGCTCCTTTCTCTTCTAAATTATATCCTAGGGCTTAGTCCAGACCCTGGCATAGCCAAGGTGCCAGTAAATATTATTGAAGAAGTAAATTTAGGTTTGAAAGTACCAACCTTGGTACCTATATCCCACAGTTTCATTCTGGAAGAAAGGATATCGTTTATCTACTGGCTGACAGCTGAAAGGGCAACTCTATGCTTTCTTAGTAAATCATGGCTTAAAAAAACCTCTCTCCAAGATTACTCTATATAAAGCCTTTAAAAGGAAAGCTAGGACTTGGTGATGAAATTTCAAACAAGATGACTAGCTGAGGAAAAAAAAATTTTAGAGTTGAAGGGGTGAGGTGAGTAGGCATAGAAGCAAGCGTTTCTAGGTCCTTCAAAACAGACCAAATCAGCAATCACTGAAGTTTGTTTGCTCACTACAGGCCTAAGAAAGGCCCTGGTATCTTTAACTTGATTCTGAGTGGCCTCTTATTTTCCAGGAGCTATACACAGTGTATCCTGCTATATGTACCAGAAACCGGGCATTATCAAAACCTGAATTGTTAAAACATTTGTTTCCATGGGATTAAGGGCTAAAGAATTTCCAATTCACAATTAACAATAAGACTTTTTTTTTTTTAACATAGAAATTTCCAAATTACTGTTTTTAAAGTAAATAGTATACAGCTATGACCGGGCACAGTGGCTTATGCCTGTAATTGCAACACTTTGCGGGGGTGAGGTGGGCAGATCACTTGAGGTCACGAGTTTGAGACCAGCCTGGCCAATGTGGTGAAACCCCAATTCTACTAAAAACGTAAAAAAAATTAGCTGGGAGTGGACTGTTAAAAAAAATTACTCAGGGGCTGAGGCAGGAGAACTGCTTGAACCCAGGAGGCAGAGGTTGTAGTAAGCCAAGATCGTGCCACTGTACTCCAGCCTGGGTGACAGAGCAAGAGTCTGATAAAATAAAATAAAATAAATAAAATAAAATACAGTGAATAGTGTACAGCTATAAAAAGTAAGCACTACTGAACAAACCCAGTAGTACTGAAGATCCAAGTGTATTTGATTACATTTGGCTTTCATTCAGTAAACCTCTCTTTGATGACAGCTAGCATTTAGGAGGGCTTGCTCTGAGCTGTGTGTACTATATTCATTGTTTTAGACGCATTTTCTCATTTCCTTCAAACCTACTTAAAAAATATCTACTATGTGCTAGGTACTGTTCTAGGCACTGGTAATAAAAACAAAAATGTCCTTGTCTAGAAAGAGTTTCTATTATAGTGAAATGTAATCTTCATAACATTTAATCCTCATTACACCTCTATAAGGTAGGGACTGCTATTATTTCTACTTTACAGATAAAGAAACTAAGGCAGACAAAGGGTTAATAAATTGCTCAAGGCCTTTCTTCCTGCCCCCCACCCCAGGTCATCAGAAGGTGGCCAAGGCTTCTCACACATTCTAGCCAGCTATCACCTAAAGTACAATGCCACTTTAACAAGGCAGCCAGTTCTCGATTTTCGTGTTGGTATAATATAATTAATAGCTATTTGTGAATTTTAAATCTTGTTGCCTAATTAATTGATCCCCTTATAATGGAAATGCTTTCCCTAGGAGAAATGCATATGTTTTATTCTTGACACATGTGATAAAGGAACCCCAGCTCTCATGATCACAGCCACACAGCATTGATTTATACTTACCGTAGAATAAATTGACGATGTGCTGGAAACCAAGGAGAGTGAGGATCCATGAACTATTAAAAGAAAAAAAAAGTGAATTGATAGATGGCTGTTATGGAACCAAAAACGGGAGAAGGGAGGAGAAACTCAGCAACACAGGACACCCCAGGCTTGGAATGACTTAATCTCACCTTGGTTCAACCTTTTCTGGTTTGGCAATAGGTCAGTGACAAATAAGTAATAGTCTGCTAAGGATGTCACTTTTCTATTACCGCATTTTTCCTTCAACCTTCTGAATACTTTTTCTCTTGACTGTCAAAATAATATATGATACTGAACAAAAATTTTCAAGTACGGAGAAGTGTTAAGAAGCATATTCACTGTCACAACCTGCAGTGACTCACAATCTCATTGCCCGGAGGGAACCTGTTACTTTTCCAGCATATTTTGCTTCACTCTTTTCCAATGTATTCCTTTAGGGTTAGAACCGTGTGGCATATACACTTTTTTTTTACCCTGTTAGCATCTGTCAGTTGTATATGCAAAAAACTGAGCTGACTATTTTGAATCTAACATGCTGTTGGCCACAGTTAAGTTCTTTCTAGATCACCATATAGCAGAATATTTGTTTAGAAAACATATCCATCCAAAGACAGATTTTTTTATTTGATTTCTATAATGTCTACAAAGTGACGAGCAAGTGGTATCTTCTTTTATGTTTCAAACTGGTACATTTTGACTAGAACCAACTTGTATGTCCTTAGCACCTCTTCCAGTCCCCAGCCAGTGAAGACATTTTATTATTTGTTCTAATTTTACAGCATAGTCTTTTCTAGGACTTGGGTATTCTGGCTGCCTTCTTTTGTGGGAAGCAGGTTCTTTATTTTCTTGGTAACTTCTTGACAACTTGTTTGAAAAACAGAAATATTCCTATGTCAAGACCTCACAGAACTTTCGACTGGGCACAGCTTTCCTGGCCGTGGGTGGAATGGCTCTACTCCCACACCGAGCTATGACCTGTAGTCTAAAGTGGGAGGCACAGGGGTAACTTCCACATGTAGTAAATGGCATTCATCTACCACCCACGAAGTGAACTCACCTTGGATTAGTAATCAGCAGAAGCTACATGCCAACAAGGTGGCTGATAAGTAGCTCAGCCTTAGGTTCCTGTCTGTCATCTTTCCAATAAATCTTCCCTGACCTCTCATTCCTCCCTTATATGTTCCTGTCACACTATGAATCCTGTACTGCTCTCCCAAGCTTGCCCTAGACAGTACTTTCTCTGCCCATGCAGTTCTCTTTGTTTAGGCTGCATCTAAATACTGTCTATCTAAAACAGTTCTGCTCAAATGACATCTTCTCCATGGAAGCTTTCCTCATCTCCCTGACTGCCACCTGGGGGGCTTCCTCCTCCCTCTGAACCCACGTAACTCTTGGCTTGCCATTCCAGGCCTCTTCTCTCAGCAGGTCCCTAATGCTCTAAGTTGTCCCTATATCATCAGGTACATCCACCCTCCTTAGCAATGCCCTGCATTCTAGATCTCTTCCTCCACTTCTTCCTTCACTCATGACTAATTTGACTTCATGCCCATAAAAAATCAGGTTAAGGTGTTAATGGCCAATAATGGCTTTCAGTGTTAATATGTCCACAAATTAACAGAGGCCTTCAATGTCCCAACTTAGTGGCCTAATGTTTCACAGAGGTAAGTTAATTCAGCTTATGACACAGACATTAGTGGAGGAATTATGTTGGAGGCCAAGTTGGGTGAAGAGACATGGGTAACACATAGCCATGCACACTTGCATGACTGGCCTGCCAGAGACCAGCACATGGCTGCTATATGGCCTTTTTCTTTTTCTTTTCTATTTCTACATCTCACGCACATAAACTTACTGACACGGTTTTAACAACAACTCAGTGCAAGCGTGGAACCACAGGCAGAGAAGAACACATCTGGCAGGCTTAAGGTAGTGGTAATTGTTTTTCTCAATAATTAACTCCTCTCACTTTGTAAATAGCGATAGCAAGGCTGTATTCCAAACAGACAGGTTCCTTGATTTTCAGAGTCAACCCAAAACTGAATGTGGCTTGCCTGAACCATTGCAGTTGGCCCTCCTTCAAGGGACTTGAGCCAAGTCAGAGCCTGGGTTATGCAGTGTGGTTATTTTTGGACAACAAAATGCCTATGGGAGTTACAAAGGCCAAACAGCTAAAGTAGGCTATGTAATTTTCCTCCCTATAGCTATACCTCCATATTTTTTTCAGCTACAAGGAACTGCAGAGAATATCTAGGCCATTTCTACCATTGAGAAATCTGAAACTCAGAGAGGTTAAATGACTTGCTATGGTCACACAGCAATTCAAGAACAGGGTCTGCTGACTAGAATTCAGGAGATTGCTCTGCCTTTGAGTGATCTGTTTTACTGGTTTCTGATTTGTTTGTTTGCTTGTTTTATTTTAAAGAGCCTTTTGGTGTCTTTTAGAATGGTGTCCTAGTTCCTTCATGCAATCTACACATGGGCACAAGCTAGGAATGTTCGAGAAGAAAGATGCTTTAGGAGGTGTGAAAACACTAGACAGAATAAAACAACATGCATATTCCAGCCAGTGAAGCAATCAAGTTCCTCTGACCCTCATCACAGAGAATCTGCAAGTAACAATCCCAGACTAGGCAGGAGTTTCCACCCTTAATCAACAGCATAATACATTAACTCTCAGAGTGGTTAAGTGATGTAGCCACACACAGAACTAGTCAGGAGCAGAGAGAATGTAGATCTAGGCATGATGATCTACTTCTCATTCCACAGTTGGGTACTATGGAAAGAGTCAGGAAGAATGAAATGTAGTTCTGATGACTAATGCGCTGCCCTGCCTCTCCATCAGCAAAGGAAGCATTGATAAAAGATCAGAGCTTGCCTAAGACAGGTTTAAAAAAAAAAAAAAAAACACAGCTGAGTCACATATCAAGGCATGATTGAGTAGAAAGAAAGAGGGACTGGAATCAAGAGGCTTAAGATATCACTGTGGCTGCATAAAGGCATCAAGTCATGGCACCAAGAAAAAAAAAAAAAAAGAAAAAAGTCATCAAGTCACTTTTGCCGAAATTTCGCCATTAAAAAAAAAAAATGAGGATGATAATGGCCCTTGGGGAGAAGGCCATAATATGACAATTATAACAATAGCTACCATTGAGTGAGCACTTACAGTGCTCCCCTTTCAAAGTTACTTGTTAAATGCTTTCCAAGATTTATCCCACCTAATCTTCACTTCAATTTTCCAAAGCAGGTACAATTATTTTCCACATTTTAGTGAATAGGAAACAGGTTGAGCAGGTCAAGTCCTTTCTCAGAGTCACATTGCTAACAGTAGGGGTGTCAGGATGTGAACCACTACTGCAACTCAGAGGCTGGATGCACAAGGAAGCTGCAATACAAGCTTTCTTGGTTAATAAGCTTCTCTGCTCCTGGGGATTCCATATAAACTGATAGGGTGGAGGGTTTCTGTGTTTTTCCATTGCATTAGCTCTCAGTGATGATTGGTGAAGTCACAGGATTTTTTTTTTCTCTAGAATCCATTTTAAAAATGCCTCAAGCATCTCCTTAAATGTATGCTATTAAAGTTGACTTTAAGATTGCATAATGCATCTGATAGAAATTAATTTACCTGAAACACTTTTGAAAGGCTGTATCTGGGCCATGCCTGTATGTAATCTACATATTTATGATACCTAAAACTCCTTCAAAGTGGAAAGTACTAATTAAATTGCACGAAAACCTCACACAAATACTTGTGCTACTTCTTCCTAAATTTCTATTCTGCTTTGTGGTATATAATACATCTAACTGATTATTACAAGGAGGTTCTGTTTGGTCCAAACATAAAATGTCAATTTTCTTCCAACTGCTCCTGCAAATACTGGGAGTTAATAAATTCAAAAGAAAAAGGAATTTCACCAAAACGAATTAAAAAGCTTTAATTGTGTTATTAAATTACACAAGCCCTATTTTGTTTTTGAATGTAATACTCTAAGAAGAAATAAAATCAATTTGATGCCATATTTTCCAAAAGATGAGAATGTTACGTATTCACAGTGTATTGACAGCAGTCCCTACCCATTCCCCTAAGGTGTGACTTTTACCTCTGTGCTTCAGGTCCACATCACCATGAATCATTAGGTTTACAAAAGTCTAGACACTGCTTGTGGGCAAGCACTATGTATCAATGTCATTTGACATCCCAGATATTCCATAGTTGTGCTGCCTGCCAGCTTGATTCCGGATGGAATAAATAAAAGCTCTCTGATGACGATACTGTAATGGTCCTGGACCTTTATGAGGCAAAGTGTGCTTGTTTGGACAAGTTTCAGTACTGAATGTGGTTCACTCAGGAACACACATGACAGAGAAGATGAATACAGTTAGGGACACACTCCATATGCAAATCCTTCCCGGGGAGGTTGGAAAATGCTCCGTGGCGATACTTGCCCAGTACACTGATGAGAAAGAAGTTCAAGACGAACCATCTCTTCCTTCACCTTAGGCTCACAGGATATTCTCTACTATCACTGCTCTGAGCGGTTACAGCATTAATTTCTAGCTCTTAAATTTCACAAGTGCCCCTCAGTGACTCAGGCTTCTCCCCTCCTTAATCCTCCGTTCCCAGCAGCTTCCCATATATGGATTTACAGACTTATGCCTGTTCGCCGAATGTCTCTGGATGCAAATGATACATAAATCTGGGTGAAAAGCATTAAGTTGCCAAGAAGATAAACCAAGGGCAATTGTTCTGTAAATAAATTCTTTAAAATTTCTGTTAAAAAGAACACTAGGCAAAAGCAGAATCTTATGCCTTATTTTGACTTGAAACTTCCTAGACAATCACAAGTTTGTTTGTTCTTTCATGTTGGGAGGATGCCGGCCGTATTTCCCTACTCACATGCGGACTGGAAAGCACCTATAACTCGCCCTCCATATTCAGTTTTGTCAATAGTAATAAAGGGACAACTAGCTGCACAGTCCTCAGCCTGGGCTCCATTTGCTCCAAGATTCCCTATTCTCTGGCTGGGGACTTTGAGCTGCCAGGAAGGCAATGCTGAAGCTGTATTTTTACAGCTATGTTATTATAGCTTTATGGCTGTGTTATTACAGGCCATGATATGTAATAACATTATTGTGTTAACATTTATATGTATTATCTCATTTAATTCTCATAATTCCATGAGCTGAATACTATTATTACTCCTGTTTTATCCGTGAAAAAACAGAGGCACAGAGATGTGAAGCAACTTGCCCAAAATCATACACCTAAAAAGCAGTGGAGCTGGATTTTAAGCTCTGCTAGCCTGACTCCATATTCTTAATCACTGGTTGATGAGTATTGCCTCCAATGTCTTATCAGCCCCATCTTCATGGGGTAGGGGTCCTCCACAGAATTTTGACTGCTTACTTTCCTAACTTATACCTTGGGTGATGGAACAAAGGGAGACAGAAATGAAGTGAGCTATGAAGGCGGCTGACAAAGTTGTCTACAGAACTTTTCTCCCATGATTCTGATTAAAATGAACAAAACATAAAAATCCAACCCCAGATATTCACAGTTAGCAACCAAAGAAAGAAAAGGGCATACCTGAACATAATGAACTTAAAAAGCCAGTACTTGAGAAAAGAGATGAAAAATTCTGGAGCAGAGCAGAGGGGCATGGCTGCCCAGCCCACAGAGCTACATGGGTATGTCAGCACAGGGAAATGAACTCTCCAGAAGTTCTCCCTGCCAAGGTGATGAGCCAGTGGCTGAACCTCGAGGTGGAGATGCATGCCAAGAAGCTGTGGCCCAAGTCCAGGAGGGAGAAGCCTAAAGCGGAACTCAGTCAGCTCTACGGTTCACCAATGTTTTTTAAGCAGCCTCCTCCTTAAAGGCCTGGAAGGTTAACAAACGGTCAGGACACACTTTACTCTTCAGATCCCCTTCCCTGACCCCCAGAGTAGGTGGGAGAGGTGGGAGCATTTATAGGTGGGCTCTCAGGTTAGCAAAGTGAACTTAGCATAGAGGACCCTACACTGAGTAACCTGGGAGATGGTTTAAGTTTCCTTCCTTACCTTCTTCAAACCCATCCCGGAATGAGCCTGAACGGCTCATAGTTCTGCTCTTCTCATCCAGAGACATGGAGCTGTTCCGGAAGCGGCTGTCAGTGTATGGATCATACTGCCCATCGGCATTGGAGAGGCTGTGGGTCCTCAGCATGGTCGGGTTGGACAAGCTCATCTGGGTGACAGTAGTGGGACTCGCTGGAATAAAAGGAACAGAATCAAAAGCTTGGACATTCATGTCTCTGTTCAAATCCTGGTTGGGGACAAAGAGAAGACTGCTTATTGTTAGCCATACATGTTCCTGCCAATTCTTCTCCCATCTGCTTTCTAAAAGGTAGTCGCATCAGCACTTGAGTTACACACTGGGAGCTAAAAATAAGAGTGGAAAGGCAGGTCAGCTCCAAAGCAAGGCTCTGGGCCTCAGCTTTCCAACTTGGCATGTTTAGACAGGCCAGTGTCACCTTCCAGGCATGAGCTAATTACTCCCCAGGCTCATCTGGAATGATTTTCTCTAAAGCCAAAAGCCCAAAATAGTCCAACCAGGCTTTTGATCAGATGGGAAGCATTTGTACATGACAAGAATCTCTTGCCTCAAAGAGTTATGGCTGGGAAAGAACAATATGAACACAGGTCTCATTGCCTCAGATGGGGTACATTTAATGTTGTATAAAGGTTTCAGTACAAAGGAGGCACATTTGTCTCAGCCAAAACTAGCTTTCTTATGAAAATCCTGTCCATTTGAGTAATGTGCAGTATTTTCAGTATTTTCAGAGGTACTCATTTAGTCCATCAGAAATGAAGAGTTAAACCTCACTTGCTTACAAGCCACCTCTATCCTTAAATACTTTGAATTTGTTATTCACTATATTCAGAAAAGGCTGCCTCCCTAAAGAGTGAGATGAGATTAGAAAAGATTTCTCATCCTCTATCAGTCCTTCAAGGCTCAGCTCCTACCCTGCCACCTTCACGGTAACCTCTGTCAATAACTCCAGCCAGCACTAACTTTTCCTTTTTCTAAAGGTGTCTAACGCTTGCTATCTAATTATATTCAGTTTTTACATGGTTTCATATAAGGCTTTGGATTGCTGTCTTTTGCCCTGTTATACAGGTGTGCATTGACATGTTTGTCTTTCTGAAAAAGAATCCATTGACATGTCAGCAGGGACTGTGTCACAAATTCTTTTCCTTTCCCCGCTGTGCCAGTCAAAGCATTATGTCAGAAGTAGGCATTGTTAAGAACACCTATTCAATCAAAACTTAACTTTTATTTCCAGCTTAATAAAGCAATGAGGATAACCCAACATGGGATATGCGTAAAATCTACTTCTTCAGAGGTCTTAGAAATAGAATGCATTCTTTTTAAGAATGGGATAACATGTACTTTGCCATAGCCCTACCTGTATCAACCACATGAAGGAAATCATTGATTAGAGTGTCAAAAACTTTGCTATTTTCTCTATTTCTTTAGCTATCTATCTCCTATAATCAAACTATATTGCTGAGGGCTGATCAGACACTGAGAGTGATGTGACTATATGTCTATTTCAAAATATAAGATAACTCAAGTGATGATTACACCAAAATCTCAGAAATCACCATGAAAGAACTTATCCATGTAATCAAAAACCACCTGTTCCCCAAAACCTATTGAAGTAAGAATATATTTTACATATATAAGATAACCACTGCCCTATGGAGCTGATCAACAAGGCTAATGACAAGTGGCTACTCACCAAGCTGGGAAAAGTTGAATCTTGTTCCAGAGGGAGAAGTCACGCTGGAGCCAGAGGAAAAGGGGGAATTGGCAGCGGTGTCCTGCAGGCCTCCTGCAGAGTGGGACCGTAACCATTCTTTTGCATCTTCTTGCGTGCGAAGCTGAGAGGTGGGAGTATACCTGGACAGACAGAAATCAAGCTAGAATTAACTACGAACAACGCTTATTAAAATGAACTCTGTGGAGCTGATGATAAATACATAAAAAGAAAACATATATCTAAAGATGATTTTTTAAAAATCAGATCACTACACACCCCAAAACTTATGAAGTTTCTCAAAACCTTTTTTCTATTTGGCTGTGTTTGGGGAAAATGACAATTCCTTTCAGTTTGGAGGGAACACATAAAGGGAAGAAGATCAGTAAATGCTCAGAAAAGCCGTCACTGGGCGTATCTGTAACATGTTGCTTCATGACAGTGTCATGTCAAAGCCCCCACCTTGACAGGACTGAAGCAACAAAATGAGCTGCTGTTAGAGCTTTGAGGGAGTTTTAATTAGACAGCTCATGGCATCTGCCATTCTTAGCACAAATAAATGATCATGAATCACAGCACATGAAAAAGCAGACATACAAAGCAAGGTCTGAGGACACTGATGCAGTCGTTGCTGTAATTGAGCATAAACAAATCTTCATAAAAGGAACCCCAAATCATTGGGTTTCATAGGAGAGGGTCTTTAGAAGTTATGTGGTCCACCTCCTCATTTATTCTGAAATGCATATGGTGATGATTTACTGAACGTCTGCAATGTGCTGGGTGCCTTCATGCGCATTATCTCACCAAAGCCTCAGACCTACTCAGCAATGCAGATGCCATTATCTGCATTTTACATTCAGGGAAGGTAAGGACCTTGCTGGGAGTCAAAGAGTTGAGATTTCAATCCATGTTTGATTTTAAAATGCATGCTCTTTTCATTATGCCCATAAGTAGCATCTGAAATTTCTTTTCTTTTTTTTTTTGAGATGGAGTCTCACTCTATTGCCCAGGCTGGAGTGAGGTGGCCTGATCTTGGCTCACTGCAACCTCCACCTCCTGGGTTCAAGTGATTCTCCCGCCTCAGCCCCCGAAGAAGCTGGGACTATAGGCGTGTCAGCTAATTTTTTGTATTTTTAGTAGAGAGAGGGTTTCACCATGTTGGCCAGGCAGGTTTCAATCTCCTGATCTCAAGTGATCCGCCCATCTCAAGTGACCTTCCGAAGTGCTGGGATTACAGGCATGAGCTACCACACCCAGCCTGCATCTGAAATTTCAAGTGCCAAGTGGCCAGGGTACCCTTGGACTTACGTATTATGAAGTGACTACTGATTATGTACATAGAGGGATTCCTTGAGCTTAGGGAAAGATGCCGTCGGTGTGTTAGTACTGGATGCTCATGTGTATGGAGTGGCTGAGCTAGACAGGAGGAGTCAGAGGGAGCACAGAAATGCTTCTTCCTTAATGTTTTTACTATATCTGACAGATATGCAACTTTCTAGGACACATCAATTGCCTGACAATAGCCTGTCATATATCTCTATTCTGAATTTTTAAAAAACCGATGCTACATAATTTTGATAGGCTAGATGTGCCGCAGAAGTATATGCGCCATTTCAAAATGTTAACATTTGGAGCTTAGCTTCCTCTCAGGGCACCAGTGGGGCATCAAAATCAGACTCACAGTGAGAGTGGACACGATTTAAGCACCTGGCATGGCTGTTGACAAGCAGCTCACAGGCACGACTGAAGCTGGTAAGCACAAAAGGCCTTGCCAAGGCCCCCTCTAAGGCCAGGCTGCTCAACTCCCTCCTGTAGGACAACTTCTGGGAGATTCTAATACTTTCTTAGATTCTTGTAATTGGCTTTACTCAGGCTCCCATTGAAAGGAAGCATTGATACCTACCTCACATTACTGTTCAAAATGCTCTCAGTCTTAAGAGCTGCAGGTTATGAACTACAGACATACATGACAGCAATGAAACATTTCATTCCAAGTTCCATTTTATGCGAAAGCACTTAATGCTTAGTGCAGGGTGAAGCTGATGCTACAAAGCACGTGGTGTTTAGAAAGCAGGAGAAATGACAGCTGCAACCATCAGACAGCAAGATCATGGGGGCGGCGTTAGCAAACTGAAGCTTCTCTGACTGGCAAAGTGATGTAGATGGTGTGAGCAATGCTGACTTATAGCATCTTGTTTTGCCAGGACTAGCACCAAAAATGAACTGGAGCCACCACTTACTAGGAGTGGAAGACAGTCCTTCCTGGGAGTCTTTTATTATCCACCAAAAAATGATCACACCCATGTCTTGTTGGGCATTGAAAGTAAACCAATTTTCCATTAGAATATATAGACAAGTGCAAAGTATCTGTCTAGCTATTTTGTACCGGCAGAGAAGTTAAATATTTTCAAATCTGGGGAAAATATTCCTCTCCTGTGCTCTTGTCCTAGCTTACAAATCAGTATGCTATAAGTCATGTCCTTTCTCTTAGAAAACAGCCATGTAAACAGAATGGTCACGGTGAAGTGCTCAGAGATTCAACCCACTGGTCCCAGAAGTAGCAGTGACTGCTCCTTGGGCTTGCCCAGGGATGTTTTTCATGAGATGGTTTTACCACATGAAGCCTGAAAAAGCACAGCCCCTGCTCAAGCAAATAAGCAGACAAATGGAGAGTGAGAACGAGAGGGTGCAAGAGGAGCCATCATCCAAGAGGTCCTGCTGTGGTGGTCAAAGCGGGGACCCCAGTCCAGCCCAAACCCCCACCAGCCATGAAGGAGCCACACAGCCAAGCTCCAAAGCCACAACAGATGGCACAGATGCAAGGAGGAAACACAGATACCTGAGTCCTTTCTTAGGCAAAGTGTTCCTATCAAGGTGCGGGTCACTGTAGGAAAGTTAAAACAAAAATAAGAACTTCAGAGCAGCACAGGAAGGCAGGAAGAGGGAGAGCTAGGGAGGGGGCTGCAGGGCCCTGGAGAAAGAGGCACACATCACCAGGAAGTGCCTTATCCAGCTAGGCATGCAATGCAACACATCCACATCCACGGAAAACAAAAGAAACCCAATCCTCAGCCAGAGCTGACACCAGCGCATACTTTACCCCAGGTCACCAGGAGGCCTGAGTCCCTTAACCCCAATTGTTCTTCCTTTTCCACAGATTCAAAGCAAAACTCAGGGGTTGCCCTACCCCAAAGCAGAGGTCCCGTGCCTTCTGCTGCCCAGGGGCCCTCTCTGCACCAACACAGCTTCTCAGAGAGCAGGATGCCCGCTTCTCTGCACCCCTAACTCTGGCCCGCCCCCTAAATCCCACTAGCAATGACTTCAAGTGGGAGAAGGGACTTGTTGGAGGTTTCAAGAGGCCAGCAGTCTGCATATTTGGAATTCATCTGTAACGAAGTGAATTCCAGGTCCCTCTCAATTTCTGCGGCTCAGGCATAGCTAGGAGCTGAGTCCTGGGTGGGGCATGTTACAACTTGCTGGCTGATAAAGTCAAAGCATTTGGATTTCCAAAGACCAACAGTTTAAAGGCTTGGTTTGTGAGCTGACAAAAACAAAGTTTTCTCTGTTGGTGGGGTGAAGGCTTTTTTTTTCTTCTTCTGGCAGGAGACAACATTGCCTGTTATGTTTGGCCAAGTCATCGCTCCCCCACAAATTTAAGGTCAGTATCCATCTTGAGGCCCACCCACAGCTGGGGGCAAAGACAAGCATGTACATTCATAAAGTCTTAACACTCTACATATTCTTTTTCATTATCATCGCAGGAGATGGGCACACAGAACACAACAGTCTGCAAGACATAATGAGCCAAACTGCAGCAAAGGATTTTGAAAGGGAGAAGAGGCAGCTGCTTGGGGAGCGGTAGACAAAGGTGAGGGCCAAGCTGCACAGTGGGTGGCAGGTCATTTCTGGGCTTGGGGATGGGGTGGCGAAAGGAATGGGAAGGGAGCTCAAAAGCAGGAACATGCCACCGGAGGCCACAAGAGATGCAAGTGAGAGCTCCGGCTGCCCCAGATTAAGCATCAGGGTTTGAGGTCGGCTTCCCAAAATGGGAATGAAGGGGCCAGCCCAACTCCATCTCTCCCTGGGTGTTAGCAGACAGAGGAATAGACTCTCACTGGCATGTCCATGTGTCACAGAGTACACTAGAGCCACAAACACAAGCAGGAGCCTTAGGCCAACAGCCTCGCACAAGACATCTGGCTTGACAACGAATGGGCAGAAGAACCTAGAGGCTCGGTGGGTCCCCGGCCTGCAATGTCATTACCTGTCCTGTTTCCTGGGCAGAGTACTTCTGCAGAACTTAGGGCTAGCAGCAGGGGAAGAGAGAGGGCTAGAAGTCCAGGCAGGTAGAAAACAAGAGAAGGAACATTAGCTTGGAAGAAAGGAGAGGTGCTGTTATATACATTTTTCTCATTCCCCATGCTGATCCTTGCTTTCTTCCCTAGGTGCAGAAACTGGACACCTTTATCCCTGCTGTAGTGAAATCCGGGGCTCTGAAAACACTTTTAATTTCTTGATTTCCTATCAATATGGGAGAAGGGTGTTTGCCACGATGACAACACATCTACCCAGCCGTCTAAAGAACATCCTACTACACACTCCATGGCTGTACCCAGTCACCTACTCTGCTTGCACAATTACAAGGGGAGGTAAAAGAAGGTGTTGATGAACAAACAGGATAAAACTGAAGGATTTCAAAGGCTGAATGCCATTTCAAATGGTAGCATAAACCTGCCCCCAAGAGACTGAGCAGCTCCAAGCACCAAGAATAAACAGAGGAAAAGATAACAGGAAGCAGAGCCAAGCTTGATCCCATCCCAAACTGGCTGCCTCGTGAAAGACAGCAGTAATTAGAGAGAGACATCTCACAGGCAAAGGCTGTTCGACATTTGGGACACCTAAGCTAATCTTTTTATTTTGGAAGGGTGACTTTCTGAGAAAGACAGCCAGAGGCACAGCACCAACCTTTCTGACAGTGTGGTCTTCACACTGTTGGTTCTGACAAAGGGAGTCAGGGAGTCGTCCTTGGAGGAGGCGATGAGGCCAGTGGAAGAATTGTGGCTGGGGCCCCCTCCACTGCTGAGGGAGATGTCGATGGACTCACAGCTGGTGTGGAGGCTGCTGACAGACTGGAAGCCCAGGCCATCCTTGCTAACTGCGGAGGAGCTGCTGGCGTTGGTGCCCCAGGTGAGGCTGTTGGAAGGGCCCGAGTGGGCTGAGCTGGGGCTGGAGGCTAGTGGAGACTGGTTGAGGTCCACATTCTTGCTGTAGAGAGGACTGCTGCTCCCACTGCTCAGGACGCCACTGCCTGACGGGGAGTCTAGATTACCTTGCTGAGTCATGGTGGCATGAGGATTGGAGATGACCACCGAAGTTTTCATGTTTTCAGCTGTGGCGATGGGCACTTGCTTGGCAGGCTTCCCACCAAAGAGTCTGTGAAGAGACAAATGATTGTGTAGGTTGAACACCCAGTGCCAAGAGGCACCAGACTGTTAAAGAAGGGAAGGACAGAGGAGTTGGTGAGAATTCTTGCGGCAGGAAGCACAGCCATTCCTGCTGAAATGGCTAAAGGTGCTTCAGGGGAAGGTCGGCCATAAAGTGGGCCTGGACACTAGTGTATCAGATAGCCGTCTTCAAGTTCTAAGCTGCAGTGAAGATTCTTACTCTATCTGAGCTAAAGACCCATGAGTAATAATTTTCTAAAGGCCTATCCACGTTACACTGGGCCAAGATCTTACTTCCCTTTTTTTTTTTTCAATAAACAGATTAACTAGAAAATTGCCCTGGCCCAGGAAACATCCAGAGGGAAGATAGTTGTCTTCATTGTCTTGGTCTCCATGACCCTAGGCATAAAGCAGGCACACAGTTTATGACAGCTTAACTCTTTTTTTCTTTTTTTGAGATAGAGTCTTCGCTCTGTTGCCCAGGCTTGAGTGCAATGGCATACTCTCGGCTCACCGCAATCTCCGCCTCCCGGGTTCAAGTGATTCCTCTGCTTCAGCCTCACTAGTAGCTGGGATTACAGGTGCGTAGTACCACGCCCAGCTACTTTTTGTATTTTTAGTAGAGACAGGGTTTCACCATGTTGGTCAGGCTGGTCTCGAACTCCTGACCTTGTGATCTGCCCACCTCAGGACAGCTCAACTCTAAGGGATTTAGTTTCTTGACCTCTGAGCACAACACACAGAATCAAGAGCATCAGTCTAGATCTGGAGGGGGCCTGGGAAAAATACCTTCAGAGATGTCTCCACAATAGAAAGCGTAACTTGAAAGATGTAGCTTTTGAAGCCAGAGCGCTTACTTATCCAATGACATACATGGAAATCTTTCTGGGTTCACAAGACATCAGACCAGATACACTGGGTGTGAACTGTGTCTCTGTGACAGACACACAGAAATGCCATTCTATGACATCTCCCCTGATCGTGGCCAAAAATGTGCCATCAGACTACAGTGAATGACATAAACGCCCTCTCTTCCACTGGCAGAGAACTCTCTGAAAGAATGTTAAAATTATCTTAAATTCAGATAATTGTCCACATTCTAGTAATGCAAAGGCTTTACTACACTCATTAAAACCCGCATGGAGTAAATATCTCAGTGACAACACTACTATGTATTCTGCCATGCACATTGTTTTGGTGCTCACAGTGGTGAGAGTTTGATCTCTCTGTCCTCTCCAAACAGTCCTATAAATTATCTCAAGTATTGTAAAGACAATCAATCAATCAATCCTTACTACAGTGTGTGGTAGCAGAAGGGAAACACTTTGTGACTGGTGACAACCAGGGAATGAAAGCTCCTAATGTAGAATCTTGGCTTTAGAATACTTATATACTTCCAGTGATGACAAAGACCTCGTTACTTCAAAGGGTGCCTTGCTCCATTGCCAAGCACTTTCAATTATTAGAAAACCCAAATCTCATCCACGTTTTTTTTCCTGACTTTTGGATATTGCTCCTCATCCTACTATGCATGACTATATAGAAAAGTCTAATCTTTTGTCTATTAGTCCTTTCAATCATTTGAAGAGCATTATCTATCACATTTCACCTAAGATTTTTCTCTAATACACATCAAGAGAACTGAGAACACCTTAACGATTTAGGAAAAAATGTAATTTACCAGGAATTGGCTGAAGGTCTTCAATGCAGAGCCCCAGGAGCTGCATGCATTTTCAAGCATTCTATTACACTAGCCTCAGGGTCTAGTAAAATGCCTTTGTAGTTAGTAAAGGAAATCTATAATACCAAAGAGTGAATATTACATATAATACTTGAGGCAAGAAACAGAAAATTTTCATTTACAAGGCAATCTGTTAAAACAACAAAGAGCAGCCCAATAGACTTACCCCGGGAAAAAAAAATCATTACTGAAATTCTAATAATCAAGTCTAGGCAAAGAACAGTGAAGTGATTCATTATACCTTTCATGTGGAATGCTTCTTCTGAAGTCTTTTCACACATTCCTGTTCATCCCCAAATATGTATGTGTGCATATAATTTTTATTTTCTCACTGCTTGATTTTCTTTCCTTGGGACTTTTTCTTACGATAAGAAATTTCCTGGGAAGGTAGGATGGACTGTAAACCATGTAGTTGTAGTTTGAGGATGGTCCAGTGTATATTATAATCAGGTAAAAAAAGGCAAAAGTTGAATAAATTTATTAAAACAAGTGAGTAATTTTTTTACATCTAGAGCTTCCACCCAGTGTGAAAAAGTGGGGAAATGATGTCTATTTAAGGTAATAGGAAATCAATTTATCTTTTTCAGAAATATTTCTTCTTTAAGAGGTCTGTGTGCGCGCGCGCACGCGCGCGCGTGTGTGTGTGTGTTAGGGAGGGGGAAGTTGAAATTTCAGACTGACTTGGAATTCTGTAGTAGTATAAAAGCATATGTGGGGACCCTGGGCTTTGTGAGTAGAGGAAGAAGCTGGTCAAGATCACTCACTGCCTGCCATAATGAGGAAGCTTAGCTGCAGAATTATTAACACAGGAAAAAAAATTATCTGCCCCCCTGAGCTACCCACCCAGGTCTAAGGGTGTATCAAGACCTCATCCTGGATGGTAGCTAACGTCTACTGAGTGTGTACTACAAGAGGACATGACTACAAAGATGCATCTTTACAAAAACTTTGACAAAAAAGTATCATCATCCCCATTTTACAGGTGAGGAAACTAAGGGAGAATTGTTAAGAAAGGTTATATGCCAGCTAATTAAAATGGAGCCAAGATTTGATTCCAAGATCACTGATTCCAGAGGCCTAGGTTTTTGGTCCCAACATGGGAAAATAGTCAACTGCAAAACTGCCAGCAGGATCTGACCAAACGGCTTTATTGGAGGACTGAAGTGGAGAAAAACAGAGGGTGCTTCAACTAAGAAACAGGAAATTACTAAATCCGCTCCCTGTATTCTGGTTCTGTTCAGCATCATTGACATACTCACTCACCTGCGGAGTGTGGGAGAGGCCACATCTGGGTACTTGGCTCCAGGCTGGAGAGTGGCCTGAGCTGGACTGGACATAGGCTGGGCTGCTGGGTTCACTTTCACCGAGTTACAGGAAGCCACGCTCTCGTTGTCTGATGATATGCCTTTCTCCTTATCTGTCTGGTTGATCAGGCCTGGTAGAGAGCTGCCTAGGGCTGTTTTGGAAGGCTCCCTCAGTTTGGGCACTGGCAGGCCTGCAGACTTGCTGCTGATGTTGGAATCTATGCTGCTGGTGCTAGACCTGTTCCCAGCCCCATTCCGGCTGTTGGACTTACTGGGCCTTGGCAAACTCCGGTACTGAAGGTTTGTCCGGGAGCTGAGGGACAGATACCCGTCGTCCTGATTCTGAACCCCGTCCATGCTTGACTTCCGACCAGCAGACCTACTGACGAGTGCTGACGACTTTGGGATTTTGCCCAGTGTGGCTGACCTGCTGGTAACAGTGGCCCCGCTGGCTGTGATCATGGCCAGACCGGCGGCAGAACCACTCTGCTTCTTGAACCCAAAGCTGTTGGCATTGGCAGTGGGTGTCCTAGAGCTGCTGGGGAGGGGCTTTTTGGACTCATCACCACTGCTCCGGCCTGCATCTGATGGGGAGCGCTTCACCTGGGAGGCTTTTGGAGAAAGCCTTCCTTTCTCAGACACCTTTGCATCATCTGTTTTTCCTAAGAGAGAGATCAGCAAGATTAGCCTGCAATCCAAGAGTCCAGCTCATCCATCTCATCTGTTTAAGATGCTCCCCCTCCTCTGAAGAGCTGGTTCACTTTTCCCTTGTGGAGGCAGAGGAAACAGTTTTTTTTTTTTTTTTTTGAGGCGGAGTTTCGTTCTTGTTACCCAGGCTGGAGTGCAATGGCGCGATCTCGGCTCACCGCAACCTCCGCCTCCTGGGTTCAGGCAATTCTCCTGCCTCAGCCTCCTGAGTAGCTGGGATTACAGGCACGTGCCACCATGCCCAGCTAATTTTTTGTATTTTTAGTAGAGACGGGGTTTTACCATGTTGACCAGGATGGTCTCGATCTCTTGACCTCGTGATCCACCCGCCTCGGCCTCCCAAAGTGCTGGGATTACAGGCTTGAGCCACCGCGCCCAGCACAGTTTTTATAAAAATAATACAGTCTACGAATGTACTGTGAGCCTTTTAGGAAATATCAATGATTTTACTCATTTGCAAAGCAGTCTAAATTTACACAGGAAAAAGCAAAGCCAGCCAATCACTGATCTGTTTGGGGGGAAATAACCCCCTGCCTTTTCTGATCTTTCACCCTCTGTCCATTAAAAGGGGATGGTGATATAGCTGTCCTAGTTTATAAATATCCCCTAAATCAGGGACAACATGAACTCAACATACCCACAGCTCATAAACCCATGCTCTTGAATAGCCTGAACTAGTTGCATTAACTCTCACCCAGTGTCTAGTTAAACGAATTCAGTATGTGTCAGCAGTGGAACCATCTTCCGAGCTGAAGAGGCTCCCATGCTTACTTATTTCCACTTAGAAAAAGGTGGGGATGTGAATATTTATTTAAGCTCGTTATCAGCGGAGTATAAAATCCTGAGGCAACATAGGTAACATCAAGTCCTTGCTAGAGTTAACTATGGTTTTGGTTTTTAAAATGACAACCATAGGGCCAAGAGCACTCTGGCCTCTTACCAGTTCCTGGGGTCTTCAGTGCACCTGCTGGGGCTGACGGCTTCGTCCTTGGCATGGTGATGCCCACCTGAGCTGTCATGCCTCGCCGCCATGAGCCTGTCTGGGAGATGACGGGATTCTTCTTGCCCGACGTGCTTTTGTCGGACTCGTCAGACACGTCAGAAGGATTCCGCCTCCACTTGGAACCTGGCTCCATTTTTATGCCGCTGTCTGAGCCTCCGTCTGATTTCTTGACATCATCACCAGACCACAGGGAATTCCTCTCCACCTGTGAGTGCTTCTCAGCATCAGTCTGTGGACAGAGACTCTCTGAATTAGTCCTTTCCAAATCCTAGGCTGGGGAGCCCCTCATTCCAAAGGCAAAAATGCCAGAACACTGGAGTAGTTAAGGGAAAAACAATCATTATTTTAAAGATGTTTGGACTTTTGTACTCTGGTTATCTTGTTAGAAAGCCTGATTTTTTTTTGTTGTTGTTGGTCCAAGAAAAGTAAATAATATCAATGTATCTTTAGAATGGAATGAGGTGGCTGGGCACAGTGGCTCATGCCAATAATCCCAACATTTGTGGGGGCTGAGGAGGGAAGATCGCTTGATCCCAGGAGTTTAAGATCAGCCTAGGCAATGTAGCAAAACCCTGTCTCTACAAAAAAATAGAAAAATTATCTGGGCATGGTGGCGCACACCTACAGTTCTAGCTACTCAGGTGGCTGAGGTGGGAGGATCACCCCAGGGAGGTGGAGGCTACAGTGAGCCGTGATTGCACCACTGCACTCTAGCCTGGGTGACAGAGCACGACTCTGTCTCAAAAGAAAAAAGAAAAGAAAAGAAAAGAAAAGCCAAAGAAAGGGGCCCAGGAAAAACGAAGGAAAGAGCTCTAGGGAGGGGAAGTGGCAGAGCAGATGGAGATGCGGTGGGAATTTAGCCACCACCTAGTCTCTGTCACTTGAACAAGCCTCCTCCAACTCTGGCGGCTGATCTCTAACCAGCATCCAGCCTCCTGGCCTGTTTCCCTGTGTTCTGCCTTCTTCCCATCACTCCACTCGCAGTGAGATCTTTGGATTTAACACGCCAAGCAAGGGAGCAAGGGTGGTTGCTGGTTCTACTCAAATCAGGGAGAGTCAGGAGCTGAGGGGAAGCACATCCTCAAATGGCACTTCCCCCAGATGCAGAGAGCCAACGGTGCCTGCTCTGACCCCAGCATCATTTATACACCACTGCTTTGCTCCCCTTGTGGGATTTTGTTCTGACAAGGGCTATAATTAGCCAGCTTTCTTTGGAAGAGTCCTGACCTGCTGGCCATGAAACCCAGAAGGGGACAGAAGTGTGACGTTAATGATCTCCTGCAGCTAAAAGGCATAAAAGCTGACCAGAATGCTTTGGAGGCCTCCTGGGGTATGAGGCCAGTTGGAGGATGTCAGTAGTGAGAAGCAGTACAGTAAATGGAGAAGGGAAGTCAGCAGCACTTTCAGGATGGGTACACTAAGATACCAGTCCCATTATTTGCAACGCTTAACTACCGAGAGTAGGCAAGATAGGAAATTAAAATGAACACCTGGCAAGAATCTGCCTAACGCCTGTCATCCGAGAGTGGAACATGCCCTCCTCCATGGACTACAATGGCTGAATGAGATAAAAGCTAAAAACAGCTCAAGTTTAATCGCCTTCCCCCACCCGCCCCAACCCCTTCTCCCCTTATGAATTTTCAATTTATCCATTACAGACACCTTATGGGTTCTTTCATTTGTTTTTTTCCAGCTAACTATTAGGTAACAGAGATATGAGGAGGACAAACTCATACTCCCTGGCTATGAGAAGCTCATCATCCATCTGTGGCAAGGGACAGAGAAAGGGGAGTTCCTACATGTGGGCACAGGGCAGGAGCTCACTCAAAGCTTGATGAGTGAATCATGAGCCAAGGAGCACATACTTTTCAGGCCACAACACACATTAGCAAAATTATCTGATCTCAGCCTCTATCTCATCAGGGAGGTAAGTACGTAAGAACTCTTATCTTTATCACAGTCTTACAGATGAGCAGAAAGTAAAGTTGCCCATTCTCTGTCCCAACTACCTCACCTCAGTTTCCTTCCTCTAAACACTTTCAGTACATTCATTCCACCAGAATTTACTCCAGGCCTGCTGTCTCTCAGGCACCAAGGAGGGTCAGCGAATCCGGGGATCAGACTGATTTCCCACCCATCATGGAGCTTACAATCCAGTGAAACAGGCAGGGATTTAATAAATAAAAACAAACAAGCAGGTAACTGTAGATTATGAAGACTATTATAAAGAAAAGAACAAAAAGTCTGAGAAAGAAATATAGACAGTGACCTAATTTAGATGACAATGATGGGGGTAGGGGACAGTGGTCAGTTCAAAAAGAAGTACCCTAAAGAATGAGAAAAAACTTACTTAGCAAAAGAAAAGTTCGAGGCAGAGCATGGCAGGGAGAGGGAAGTGCATGTGTAAAGGCCCTGAGGCAGGAAAGAACTTGGCTTTGGAACATTCACTTAACAAATATTTATTGGGTGCCACTACGTGCCAGGAAAGCTTATTTGCACTAGGAATACTGCAGTCAACAAGTATAAATCATTAACCTCATGGAGCTTACATTCAAGAACATTTTAACATATACTAATATGCTCTAAGAGGTACTGAAAACTCAGCATATGCCACATCCTGGGTTACTGCGTTATTTCTTCTTTTAATGTTCCCATACTTATTTCCCCCCAATCAAATTGTAACGATGCTGATAGTAGGATAACTACAATTTACTGAGCACTTACTATGTGCCAGGCACTAAGCTAAAGTGCTTGACATGTATCATTAAGTTTAATCCTTATCAAAAACCTATGAGGAAATTACAGTTCATAGTCTCAATTTTACATGACAAAACTGAGGCACAGAGTGAAAAGAAAATTTCCCAGCATACTGAGGATGCAGGGATTTCAGGGACTCTAACTGTGGAGCCCATGTTTTAACCACCATGCCACACTACCCTCCCTGAAGTTAAGCCCAGGGATATGAGACATTTGTGCATACTCAGTAGCACCTAATATCCATACCCAGCAGATTCTCCTTCCATACTGGCAGGCTCCCCAACCCCAGGGGAAGAGCAGCTCTTGCCTAGCCTCTGGGTGAGACTCGTAGAACTCCAATTTCATCAATGGCAGAGACAGAACACGCGTCCCTGGGCTAAGAATGTGGTTTGATTTTCTCTCTCTAGAAAGAGCAATCATCCGGCCATCACATCTCCCTAGCTTGGTCCAGGGTGGTTGCCTTCCCAGCTCTACTCTGAATCCTTCATAAGCTACGTGCTGGACCATATGGTGGCACCTGTCGGGATTAAAAAATGAGTAAGTCCAAGCCTCTCTGTTCCCAGCACTCACAATAGCGGGGCCAGCCAGCAGGACATCCACATGGGATGCACGAAGAGTTCTATCCTGTCTTCCCCTCCATGCCTCTGCCAGTTGTTCCCATCTCATTGGTATTTTCTTTCTGAAGGGTTTTCTTACTGCCTGTTCTTGAAAGCCGATATAGTCATCTGAGTGGGAAGGTGAGGAAAGATGCCACGAACAAGGGACTTCAGAAGGGAGGCCAGTCTTCTGAGAGCAAGAGGTGAGGCCTGAGGAGCCGGAAGCTTGGCATGATGTGGGGAGGAGTGTGGGCTTTGGGTCTGACAGATCTGGGTTCAGATGCTGGGTGCTGCCACTCACTGGCTGTGCATGACCTTCGAGGACACTGCCTCACTTCTCTGAACTTATTACCTCATGTATAAAACACAGATGATAGTAGGTCTCTTGTAAGAGACCTAAATTGGTGGTGGACTCAATCAGCTCAGTGTGGGGGGCGCTCACTAAACAGTGGTTCTTTTCATAACCAACTTTCCTGCCTCTGAAAATCCTCAGCACTCTATTGTCTGTCTTTAGCATTTATCCCACTTTCGTCTTGCATTCGGGAGAGCAGGTACTTGTCTCTTCTGCTACTGGGTCACAGGCCTTTGGAAGGCAGGGATGTTCCCTCCTTGTGCCATATCCCCTGCAGACCTAGATGCTGAGCTGGCTCAAGTTCGAGCCCCAGTGACCATGGAGATAATTATTGGCATCAACACCATCACCTGCCAGTCATCCTGCTAGGCACTGTGTCCATCTACATACATCCTGAACTCATTTGATCTCAGGCTGTGTTATTATCCACATTTTACACATCAGGAAAATATAAGGTGGAAGGGGAAAAGTAACGTACTCAGTGAGTGAGTAGAAGGGGGCACCCCTTCTCACCCCCAGCCAAACCCCATCCCTACATCCATACCAACATCTAGAGAGTTCTAGGGTCATTCAAGGCCACACAGGACAGGAATCCTTGCCACATAATTCTGAATTTTATTTCCCTGAGTAACAACAACAGAAAAAATGACATGGAATAATCGTTTTCCTCCGTATGTTATTAAACATTTAACGGGCATCGAAAATGAGAGGAAATCTTGCTGTGTGCATCTTTGCTCCTCGGCACCTGTGATGGTGACTTCCATAGAAGTGAGAGAAAACACTGAATGTATAGATGAATATGTGAGGGAGTCACTCTGCCACCAACACCTATCCTCAAAATAAAATACTGCAAAATAAGATGAGTTGCTTTGAGGCTACAAAGAAAGTACATTAAGAATGCAGTCAACCTTTAGTTACTGACTTGAACGGAGGCTGAAGGCAGATGAACAGCTAACCCAGGTGGCAGGGGCTGGGGAGAGAGGAAGGAGAGGAGAGGAGGGAGGAAGTGGGGGGAGAGATAAGAGAAATGGAAGGAAGGAGGAAGGTAACTTCTGAGCAACCACCCAGTCTCAGGCACTTAGAGAAGCATGCGCTGATAAAACGTTTCCCTGTTATTTTCACACTCACCCTTGGAGATGTGTCTAATTACCGCCATGTTACGGATGAAGAGGCAGAGAGGCTTGGAGCGGGTAATTAGTTCATCCAAGGATGTCATAGAGTGAGGAGTGCAACTCAAGACCATCTGGCTTCCAAGTCCACACCTTCTCCCAATGCCACAATCTGGTTAGCCAACCAGACTCACCAGCTCTCCTGGAGGCATTACTCAAGAGGCTCTTGGGCTTCAAGCAGGGGATTCTCTGCCCAGCCCCAAGGAAACAGGCACAGGAGCTGACACCGGACAGCTGGGCACCTGTGCTCTGTGGAGGGCATTCTCCATTGCTCCTCAATGTCCCCAATGATAGTAGAGGCCCTCACAGACAATGGAGGCCCTCCATTCCCAATGATCTGTCTCCTCCTCTTTCAATCAGCTACATAAGGTTGTTTCTTAGGTTTTCCAGACAATAACTTCCCTGTTCCTGAGATGCTTTAGTTATTTCTCAGAGGATTTTCAAACTGCAAAAGCTAGGCAGGCAACCTGTCCTTATTTTGCTTTCCTGATGGACACGATGAGCCACTTCTTCCTGCCTCTCCATGTCTTGCCTGGCAGACTGCGTGCTGCCCCCATTCCAGGGAAAACCAGTATGTGACAGGAACCCAAATGAGCCAGAGCACAGAAGGCGCAGCTCTTGGGAAGGGTGCAACGCACATCTTCCCATTGCCTGATGCTGCTCAGAGAGGAGTAATGGCCCTTAGCATTCCTCAGTGTGATATGAGGGAGGAGGGTGGGAGCCCGTGAATTACGCTGATTCAAATATTTTGAGATGCTCCCTGGACAGGAACAAAGAGAATGTCACTAAAAATCCATTTAAGGAAACCATTGCATAAGAAATCTTAGTAACTACTGGTGTAATCTGCATTTATTTTACTCTAACACCTACTTTTTTTTAGTTTTCATTGTACTATTTTAAACTCAGGTAGTCTTATAGGAAAAAAAACTTACCCAGGGACTAGCAAACCATTTACATCCCTTGAAATAACTTCTGATCTTGATCAAAAGGCATGTTTGTGCAGAATCCTGCAACCTTTTGTGGTGTGACATTTACAAGATGAAAGCAAAGAGCTGGTCCAAAGAGCTGGAGCCTTGGCATTGGCCAAATTCAACTGTGTCAGAGAGGAAATCATGTACAAATCCCAGGTGTTTATCAATGTGGAACCAGAGATTTCAACTCCAGCTTTGCAGGAAGGGAACAAAGACAAGGAAATTCTTCCAATACAGTGTTTTACTAGCTCCTCCTGCATCTCAGGAGCGAGCCTCTTCTACATTGTAAGTAAACAAGGGAAACCTCACTGATCTCTTTCTTTCTTTCTGCAGTACCTCTAATAGCCTGCCTCCTGAACATAGAAGCAGGTGGCCAATTCCTTGGTTTCCTCCTTAGTATCTAAGGACAGTCTGGTTGTTCTTATCTTGAATATACAATAAGTCTCGGGAAAAAAAATTAGTGTTCACAAGGAAAGAAAAACTGGACATTGTGAGATTTAAGATACGGTAGGTGGCAGGAACACAGCCTGGCTGGTCATTTCTGAATTGTGTCTAATCACTGACAAAACAGTGACCAGTTTGGGAAGTGTGGCTTAGGTTTCATTTGTTTGCTTTTTGTACAGTAAAATACACAAATCTCAAGTACATAGCTTAAATACATTTTAGAAAATTAACATACTTACATAACCACTGCTCAGATTAAGATACAGAACATTACCTATGACCCCCTTCTAGTCATATGGTAGTTTTTGTTTCTTAAAACAACTACCAGGACCTGCCATCACTAGATTGGGCTTCTGAACAATGACCAGAAAGTCTGGCTCAAATGAAGAATGCAAGAAACTGGGAATCCCAGGGGCAACACCTAGTGTATTTCATCAGGCGGCAAACGTTTTATTTTTTCCGTGGGACAGAATTACGCCAACACTCTGATACATCCTTTTTGTCCACCTATTGTCGAAGAGACACCATTAAAAGGAAAGAGATTTCCAAATCAGCTCCTATCTGTACGAAGTAAAACACAGCTGAGAAAGGAAGAGGCTATGGAAGGGAGTGAAAGGAGAGGCAGAGCCAGCTCTACCCTCCCCAAGGTTGCCCTGAGAGACTTGGTCCCAGATTTCCCCAAGAGTTCGCCCAAAAGAGCGGGACTCCCTACAAGTGGGAGGGATCAATCATGAAAAAGATTCCAGTCTACTATGCCAGTGCCACCACGGCTCACCAGTCCTTGCGCTGGTCAGTCCCAAACTGGGGACAAGCTGTGAGGATGACATTTTAGTTTGCCACTAGTAAAATGGGGTTTTTAGAACCATCCCTTGCCAATCATGAAGGAACACTCTGAGGGCCAGTGAACATGTCCACACGAAACTAGGCTGCATTTGAAATGTGAAATCTAAAGCCTTAAAGCAGGGGTGGAAAACTCCAGTGCCCTGGGGTCAGGCAGGTAATTTACTGAGTACAGCTGGCGGGCAGGTAGCAGCTGTGCACACCGGAGCAGGCGCGGCAGGTCTAACGGGGTTGGACGCTGGGACATCTGTTGATTGTCACCACATGAAGAATGTAGGTTCAAGGAAGCATTATCTTCCGTTTTTTCAAGAGCAACCAGAAAGGCATTCTCATGTGAAATAATGTAATTTTATTTTATTTTATTTATTTTTTGAGACAGAGTCTTGTTCTGTTGCTCAAGGCTGGAGAGCAATGGAGCCATCTTGACTCACTGCAACCTCCGGTTCCCAGGTTCAAGTGATTCTCCTGCCTCAGCCTCCCAAGTAGCTGGGATTACAGGCACCCACCCTCGCACCCGGCTATTTTTGTATTTTTAGTAGAGATGGCATTTTGCCATGTTGGCCAGGCTGGTTTTGAACTTCTGACCTCAGGTGATCCACCTGCCTTGGCCTTCCAAAATGCTGGGATTACAGGTGTGAGCTACCATGCCTGGACGGAATAGTGTAATTTTTAATATTTGACAGGAATCTAGTTTAAAAGAGGGGTAATACTGTGGGCCAAACAAAACGCATCAGCAGGGGAATGTAGCCCAGAGACCGAGAGTTCTCAACCACAGGTCAGGATATCCTGGCCTTCCGGTCCGAGGTTCTCCATCTTCATTTCCACCCCAACCCCCTTGAGGGATCAGACACGTGCCTCTAGATAGTAGTGGCTGGCTGAGGTAAAGAAGAGACACACACTCCAGGCTGAAACGGCTAAAGTCCAACAACCTTTTCTGTTTTGTTTTGTTTTTTTAAACAAATTATGAAACCGAGGTCCAGGGAGGAAGTATGATTTCATCAAGTCTACACAGTGAGGGTGGTGAAGCCTCCCTACTCCCTTGTCCACCACTCCCTGCCTTACCCCTCCCTCGTGGACAGAGGTCACAGTCAGGAGATGACAGCACAGGTGGCAAGAGGCTGGGCCTCATCTCATCAACCTGGAGATTCTGCTTGCCCCAAACGGCCCTCTTATCCCACAGGCCCCTGATGGCAGAGGCCGCTGGAGGAGCCTGGGAGGGCTGCTGTTCCTCACCTGCACATCCAGGTTTTTTCGAGAGGAGGCGGGTGTGTTGGCATAGGAGCTGATGGAGGAGCTGGTGTTGATGTCATCAGTGCTGAGGTTGTCTATGGTGTCACTGATGCCACTGCTGACGGAGCTGCTGTCGTCCCAGCTGCCAAGACAAACACACATCCTGAGCACCAAAGCCTTGGGCTGTACCAACTCAGGCTGATGACACAGACAAACAAACACCATCTCTGAAAAGATCCAACCTGTGCCATGAAGCCCCAGACAAAGCTCTTTTGCCTCAGATGTGACTCATCTCCATGCCAATCGCTGCCTAGGATTGGAAGCTGGGTGAAGAGACTGCCAGGACCTTCTCCACACTAAGTACTTCCACAGCGGAGGTGGCTACGGGCACTACCCATGTCCTATGCCATCCTCAACTTCATCCTGGGAACTTTATGAAAAACAATTTGTTCTTCCCAGGCCTAGTGGCAGAGTGGGGCAGTGAGTTTGGGGACTAGAGCTAAGGGCATGCAGGGAAGAATTCCACAGCAGTCCCCTCCGTCAGGTCAGGGGGCAGAAGAGCTGCTGTATGACTTCTCCGGCCTTCACTTCTAGAATGAAACACCAAGGGAGGGAAAGCAGCAATAGGCAGGAGAAACCTGTCAACTTGATTAGTAGCTCTAACTCGAAGAGTATCCCCAAACACATCTAAAATAGATGTTCTTCATTTCCCAACCCTGCAGCCGAGTGAAGTCAGTCGCAAGCTGCCTAAGTCCAATCTCCTAACAATGGCTCTTTGTTTCTTTTTTCTTCCTTACCATCTCCCCACCTGCCAATACCACCACATTTCATCCAGCACCCGGTGCTATCACCTTGCTTCCAAAACATATCCAAATGTGCACAGTTCTCTGCCCTCACTGCCACCCTGCAGTTCATGGTGCCACCTAGGTTACTGCTATAAGGCCAGCTGGTCTCTGTGGTCTGCTTCTACTCCCTGATGGTCCACCCTCCCCACAGCAGTCAGAATATCCTGTCGCTCTACTGCTTAATACCCTTGAGTTACCTGTCAGATACTTAAGAGTCCAATCTCTCTATACTGTCCCTCAAGACCCTCCGAGCTTGCCTCCTTCCCCAGCCCTGTTTCGCAATCCTCTCCATCGAGACTGGCTCTGATCACATGCACTTCTGTTCCTTCTAAGCCAAGATTGCTCTCTTCAAGGCTTTGTGTTGCTTGTCCCTCTTTCTGAACATCTGTCCCTGACTCTTCTCATCTTTCACCAGCTGAAGTTTTACCTACTCAGAAAAACAACCCCACTACCCATCAAACCTGTCACGCTCTGTCACATCACCTTGTTGCATTTACTCATTTGTTTGCTATGGGGTAGCAGATACATAGCAGGTGTTCAATAAATACTTGCTAATCTAGGGCTGGGCACAGTGGCTCATGCATGTAATCCAAGCACTTTGGGAGGCCGAGGTGGGTGGATCACCTGAGATCAGGAGTTTGAGACCAGCCTGGCCAACATGGCAAAACCCTATCATAAAAGTACAAAAAAAAAGGCCAGGCGCGGTGGCTCACACCTGTAATCCCAGCACTTTGGGAGGCCGAGGTGGGTGGATCACGAGGTCAAGAGATCGAGACCATCCTGGTCAACATGGTGAAACCCCGTCTCTACTAAAAATACAAAAAAAAATTAGCCGGGCATGGTGGCGCGTGCCTGTAATCCCAGCTACTCAGGAGGCTGAGGCAGGAGAATTGCCTGAACCCAGGGGGCGGAGGTTGCGGTGAGCCGAGACTGCGCCATTGCACTCCAGCCTGGGTAACAAGAGCGAAACTCCGTCTCAAAAAACAAACAAACAAAAAAAAGTACAAAAAAAATTAGCCAGGCACTGTGGTGGATCCCTGAAATCCCAGCTACTCAGGAAGCTGAGGGAGGATGATCACTTGAACCTGGGAGGTGGAAGGTTGCAGTGAGCAGAGAGCATACCACTGCACTCCAGCCTGGGCAACAGAGTAAGACTCTGTCTCAAAACAAAACAAAACAAAACAAAACAAAACAAACCGTGCTGATCAAAACTCATAGAAGTGGAAGTGAGAAGTCAAATAGACAATAAACAAGCTTCCAACATCAGTGTGATACTATTCTAATTAACACAGGGGGAAAGGGTATTACTGGTTTTCTATTGCACAGCTAGAGAAAGTGAGGCTTAGAAAAATGAGATACCCTTACAAGGTCAGAGGGCTGGTAAGAGGCAGAGTGGGTCTGGATCCAGCCATTCTGATTCTAGAACCAACTACTGTGATGGCAGGCAGTTTTATATTATGTCAATTCTCAGCACATACCAGATGTGACACAGCCTACTTTCTCAGAAGGAAGCCAGGCTTGGGAGGCCAGGCAGCCTGGTTCAAGGCCACTCAGCCAGGAGTGGCAGGTCTGATACCAAGGCATTGACTTAGCACATTATTCTACCACCTAGTCTTCCATAGTCTAGCTGAAAGTCCTGCAAAGTGGCAGCATGAAGCCTGGGAAATGCTGAGTGGCTGAGATTTTGAAAGCCAAGAGCACTTCTGCCACACACAGACACACACAGACACACACAGACACACACACAGACACACACACACACACACACAACCCCAACGTTCTAGTTGATTCCAGCAGCTTGGGAGATACCTGCCTGTGCCTCCTGAGCTCTGCTGATCAGGCAGGAAGGCAAAGGCTTACTGAAAACCTGTTTTTATCACCTTCTCCTTTCACACTATTTGGCTTCCAAAACCCAACAGGAACATCCCACAGAAATGCAGGGGAGTGTGAGGGTGGTCCCAAGGAGAAGGGATAAGGCAGGGAGAGCGAAGGCTCCAAAGGGGCTTACTGTGGATGAATCCACAATGGTCCGGCAGCTCTGGGACTCTGCACACTTCACTCCTACAATTCTACTTCTTATTCCCAGCCCTCCATCCTGTTCCAAATTCTTCCTTTAATTCTTTCTCCAAATACTCCAGCCCACCCACATCATCTCCTACTTTGAATTCCTACATAGTGTCACCATTTGTATTTGCTTCTACACACTCTTACACTGTTTTCTAGCTACTCTCTATACAAAGGGCTGTTCTATCTCCCAAGCATATGCAAGAGCCTGCTTAGCGATAACAACTAAGTGCTTATCACAGATCATGAATTGTGCTAGGTACTTTAAACATATTGTTATAGATTTCTCCAGTCTTCATATCATACCTCTAAGCAGGTATCATCCTGCCCATTTTACAAATGAAGAAATAGAGACTGAAATAATAAGTACGCTGACCAATGTCATTCAATGTTGGAACTGGGTTTGAAAAGCAAAATGTCAAATTGCAGAATATGTGCTCTTTCTAGTCTGTGTCATGCTGCCTTCTGTAGCAACAAAGGCTGTTCACTGGGCCTGTGCCACATGCCAAACTATTCAACATTTACACATACTCTTATAGTCACTCTTAGGGATGTTTCACAATGAAGGAACTGAGGCCGTGAGGACTGACGGCAATGCTGCAGCAACGTCAGGCTCATTCGGTGGGCCATGTCCCCTCCATCTCCAGAGACATAGTCCGTGCTCCTTAGATACCTCCTGACTGAACTCAACATGCAGAGGCAAGATAGAGGAAGTTTCTGGTGCAAACTTGCCACCAGCAGTGGATTCTAAGCCCGGCTCCCTGCCCACTTGATTCTTTGCAGGGTCACAGCTTCTGTGCCCGTTTCTAAGGCTGGTAACCACAGGAAGATCTGATGGGAAAGCATGGGGTCACAGATGGAAAAGGACTCAAACTAGAACAAGTGATCAAAAGAAAATCCCATGGGTCTTTTCCTGCATTTGTTCTTTGGGGTTAGGAATTTAATGTATCTAAAATGTCTCATAATTTGATGAAGGAGAAAGGGGAATGGTGGGAGAGGACTGTGGCACGCGGGGAGGAAGGAGAGCAGTTGTGACAGATGCTCATGAATCCAAGTCCCAGATTTTGTGCTTTGAAATTGTAACCATTTCTCCTCTGTGGCCTTTCAACACCAAGATAATATTCCAGAGGGGCATGTGGCCTTCGATACAGAGGATTCTTCCCACATCAGTGCCTGGAGCAGTGGGAGCTAACCCTGAGTTCACAGGAAGCCCTTGTAACTGAGCCACCCAGAAGAGGGGAACCCAGGGGTCTAATCCTTGGGTAGACACTTATGATGAGGATGAAGGGCAGCGACATAAGGGAAAGCCACAATGAGCAAAAGCAGCCTTGATGTTCCCCAGAGCTATCTGTGGCCAGAAACCAAATCTGCCCCTGCGGCTGGAAAACCGGCCACGTCTCCTTTGCTTCTGGATCTCTGGGATACTGGCAAGTGCATCTTGACATAAAGTCACTTAATTCTAACTTGTCCTTTTTCCCATTTCAGGGTGCAAATGATCACGAGCCACCAAGATTAGGTCAGTGAGTTTGCAGATGTATTCTGTGGAAAACCAGTTCCACCAGATACTCTGTGATAAGAATGTTGCCCTAAGAAGGGAATGTGGGATCTGCTGCCTTCTAGGAGATTGACACTGTAAACTATACATCAACATCTTATCAGCTGTGAAGTCCAGTAAAGATCACTGTAACTTTGCCTAAAGGAGCATTCCCCAAACTTAGGTGACTACACAGGAAACACTGAGAAGAATGAAGGAAAGCACACACAAAAAAATAAAAAATGAAGAAAAATGCAATAGAGCCTAGAGCTGACAGTGGTTACTTGATTCTCACTTGCCTGTGAAGGAAGCTAGCACAGAGCGAAGCAGAGCTGAGAGGGATGGAAGTGTGCCTTTGACATCGCTTGAGCGCCCATATCCAGCCAAACTGAAAACCAGAAGCACCCCTGGGAGATCCAGCCACGAGAAATAGTAAATTTCTTTCTTTTGCTTTTTGTCACTTGGCATATTCATGCTAACTAATGAGGAAGCACAATTTACTTGTAACTTGTAAAGTAACTCCGGACATGTGGCTGAGAGTCAGAAGGGAAAAATTTGGAAAGCATGCAGAACTCACTCAGGCAGTAAGGACATTGGTTAAATCTAATCAAGTGGCAAAGGAAATTAGGTACAACCTGGGATGAGGTACAAAAGTCCACTGACCCAAATCGGGCAATAAATGTTGAAAGTAGTTACAAA